AACATTATTTAAATGTCATGCTGTAATGACAAAAAAATCACTAATAGTTCTATGTAAATGTCAAATTCAAATTATTCAATTACACCGTTGAGTGTGGGGCAGGTGATAATTTGTTCACCGCTTGGAATACCAATCCAGCTCTCACTGGGACTCCTTCTGTGTGCCCTGGCATAAGATAGACCTCAGTAATATCCTGCTCCAAGGGATGCTTTCATAGCCATTATTATAACTCTATTCCACTCGAAATATCTGCCATACTGGAGAGATATTAGAGTCATATTTTCAGTACTTTCACCCCAATGTCGCCCCCAGTGTGTGATAGCTTTTACGGATTGTAAAATAAAAAAATGGTATGGATTTCAAGAGATAGCCCTGTTATTCCTTGTTGTGATTTGTGCTTGTGCTTTTGATACTGAGCCTCTTACTGCTCGGTCAATAAAACTAAACTAGCAGTCATAGAAGACTGGGATAATAGGCTCATCTCATCAGCTGTCATTCATGGGGCCTATTTGAAAATGGCTGCACGGCCTCCCATCTATACACGGAAAGGTTTATAAAGGATATCAGCCATTCAGTGCGACCCATTCATTTGAGATTAAGTGGTGGTGGAGGAGGGTACAGGGTGCGTTTCCTTTTTCTTTTCCTTCAAAGTCAACCATGACCATTCTCTGAAATGGATGAGGCACCTTGTTGTTCAGGAAAACAGATGATGTCATTCTGAGTCATGGGGCACAAGTTCTGATTGAGCGTCCGCCACAGATCCTCACATTTTACTGCCTCCCTCAGACAGCTGGCATTTGCACTACAGGGAGCCAATGGGGTAACAAACAATTAGCCCTTTCTCAACAAAACTGCAGGGAGTGGGTATAGAATAGTCATAGGAGCTGTTTACTAAATGGTCAATATTCTTTTATGTTCACTACCACTGTTGGGGCACCAGCAAAAATATGTTTACAGGGGCTGTATTCTGCTCAATTTCAGGGTCATATTTCTATTTTGTTAACATTACATTATTATTACATGTCACTTGTTTGACGCTTTTATCCAAAGCGACTTACATACATTCAGTACTGTGGACAATCCCCACAGGAGCAATTTGGGGTGTCTTGCCCAGGGACACAACGACATGCTGACTGCAGTGGGACTCAAACTTGCTACCACCTGATTCGAAGTCCAGCACTCTATCCACTGAGCCACAGCCGCCCATTAACCCCGTTAACATGCTTTAATGTTCAAAAAGCTCTTTATTTTTCTCATACTGCCTGTGCTGCAGCACCTTGTTTCACCCTCTGTCTGCTTAGAGATCTCCCGCCCCTCAGCCTATCACAAACAATGTGTTGGAGCGCTAGCCAATAGAGGTGTGACAGTTACATAATGATGTCACTATGGGAGTGTGGGAGAGAAACCCCCTCTGGAGGAAACTTTGGGATTTGAGTCTTTGCAGATGATTTACATGCACAAAAACCTAGATAAAACACTAAAGGAAAGGTAACCCGCCAAAAGCATTAAAGGGGCTCTTTAAGGCCCAAAAAGACAAATGAATTGCATTTATAGCTAAATAATGAATTCCTCTTGTATCCATAGGAATCCATAGGTTAATCCAATGTGTCCGTGTCCCTTTGAAATGATTTCTGATAATCCATAAGCAATAAACCTGCTTTTCCATTTTCAGATGTCAGAGCGAGAAATAGGTTCACTCTGATGCAAACCTGCATGCGCAAAGCTCTCATTTCTCAAGGGTAACGTTGGTGTGTATGTGGAAACTCCCCTTCGATTCTATTGGCTCTAACGATCAGAAAGAGATGTCAATCACCAAAATCGACCAATGGGTTCCAGAGAAACGGTAAAAAAGGCCATTTCCACCCAGATCACCTCAGATGTGGAGTTTTTTTTGCTAAACCTCTCTAAAAAGGTCAAATGTCACTTTTTTTGCATCGATCTTGATACAGGGTACTTATTATATGTTGTACTTTGGATTCCTAAAGCTTTTAGTCTACCATCCCATCATCCAAGGGTAGTTTTCACTATAAGTAAAAAAGAATTTTTGGACGGACGCTATAATTTACAGTTTTTTACTATGTAAAATCTGAATTTTCTTTAAAATAAAAAACATCTATATTGATTCTGACTTTTCTACATCCAACTCACAGGTTTATCATTGCTTTGAGATAAAAGATTATTAATTTAACCCTTTTAGAAGGGAAGATATGGTCATTTGTTCTGGGAATGTCATTTTCGAGCCTGAGACCTGAAAAACAGGTCAACATGTCCTCCTATTATGTTGCATGGGCGATTTCTCTCCACATTGATATTATTCACAATTGAATACATCGGTTTGTGCCATATTCACAAGATGATACAAACATACAAGTATAAATCATACACATTTAAATGCAGAAAAATCAATGAGAGCAAGGAGCCGCTTGCCCTACTTTCCCCCCATCCCACCCCTCTTGTTGTTCCACAGATATTATAAATAATGTTTGTTTGCAATCATAAGTTCCTCTGTTCACATACATTCTCACATTACTTTACCCTATTCGCATTTTTTTTAACATAATCCTATTTTGATTTTCCTCCTTCTTGTGGCATGGTCTATTTTTCTCCACAATTATATTATCCACAAGTGATTCAGATTCTTGTTGGCATCCCTCCATTGGCTAGAATTAGGGTACAGTGGACATTATCTGTGATGTTCCACAAAGATGGAAGTGTGACATTCTCCTTGAACGCTCCAGAAATGAGACTTTCCTCCCATCCGCTCGTTCACGTCTTCTTGAGATTCACACTTTGGTGCATTTGTCACTTTGAGAGCATCTGGTTTAATTTGATTTCTTTGCCTGGCCACACTGCAATTCTCTGTGCTTTTAGTGTAACCATTGCCTACTGTGTGCGGCCAACAGATAGTTCCGCACATAAAAGGGGTTTAAACTTCTATTTTCTGGACAGCTTTTTCTAACATTGCAACATATTTGAAGATGCCTGTCCATCGCCAATTCTCTCCAGTTCTGTGTTGGAATCTCTTATTTTGAAAGTGTGAAGACATTTGTTTAAAATGGCAGCTCACTTTTTTTGAACCAATACATTTATCCCCGTACTCAAATATACTTTTCTCCTAGAGTTGACGTGGCTTATTTACTGTCTGTTGGCGTTAATCCTGAATATTTATTCCTTTTTGAAGATAGGTTTCGAACATACTATTTTATGCCAAAGTTTAACATTTGTATTAAATTCTAACAATCATTTGAGGCCAATACTAGTAAAGTCTATGCAAATAATTACACACTATCAAAGGAGTACACCTACACAGCATTTTCAAAAGATTTAACAATGTTACGCAGTTTTATTTAAGCTTTAATGGACTCTTAGCCAGTAGAATAGGTTTGCTTTTATAAAACCCAATAGACCTTCATGTTCTGTGAAGGGTTTTAGTAGTAGTTTTTCCAACTCTGTGAAATATAATACAATAAAATTAATTATTTATACAAAGTTATTTAGTTTTTATTTCTCCTTCTTTTCCTTTATCATTTCTGGAAAGATGTTTGCCCTTCCTGACACTTTTTGTTTTACATGTTTTCCCTTTTTCTATGCTCATGTACTGTAGGCTTCACATTAACATCCAATTCTCCGTCTGCCTCTTTCTGACCCTCCTAATGCTATTTCATCGAAGGATCGCATCCTTTTGTTTCTCCTAATGAAATCTGAAAATGTTCCATCTTTCATTCAACAAGCAGCCACATTTATTTTCCCTCACTGTTCTTCTTCCTACATTATCCTCTCCATTGTACAAGCTTCACATTTCCATTCATTCCTGTCTTGTAGCATTTTACTAGCAACACAAGAAACGTAATCTCGTTGTTAATCATTCCAGTACATTCTTTAAAGATTCCCAATAAAACTTGATCAGTTGGAAATGATCTTTTATATGGGTTGTCTTGTAAATTCAAGTGGGGATCACATTCGTAGGATGCCAACTGTTTTATTCATATAGATTCTTGCTTGTTTGTCAAGTCCTTTGTAAAAAATGAACAGAATGCTGGAGCTCCAGTCCAGTCTAGCCCCATGCACCTCCTGAATGTTAAACATGGCTGCTGTTGCTGCCTCTGAATTGCTGGACTGTGTCTCCTGGGGAACGGGGAAATTGAGCCCCGGCTCTTCCTAATAGGTGGTAAAGTGTTAAGTTCCAGAGAAATGGACTGCGAATTTAACCTGGAATGGAAATTGATCCCATTACCTCTTGCTTGGGCTGCTTTCCTCCCATAGGTAGGAGAGCAGGAGAGGAAGAGAGAGAGTAAAATAGACGGGGGAAGCAGAGAGAGAAGAAAGAGAGAGCGGGAAATAGAAATGGTGGAGCCACAGAAAGGGAGAGGAAATGAGGAGGGGGAATGGAGAGAAAAGAGGTGGAGAAAAGATGGAAAGAGAGAGGAGAAAATGGAGAAAGTTTGAAGAGAAAAGGCAAGGAGACAGAGTATTTGTGATTAGAGGTGATAGGATGGCAGTGGGGGTTGTGCTCTGCCTGGATTGGCAGGCTGGCTGACTCTGTATCACTGTGGCGCTAATAGCAGACCGCCACTGGGTGAGATGGGGAAAGGCAGAGGACAAGGCAGAGGAATGGCACGCTCTGAAGGGATGATACACCTCCTGCTGAGGGTTTCCACCAACAGACCTGAGCTGTCCTGGTGTGAGCCGCCACTGTGAGACCAAGTTAGCAACGGTGATGGGATGTGGCAATGCTCAGTATCAGGCTGTGGCTTTGAAATTTCTAAAATATTTTCTGGGAAAGTGAATTCCAAACAGAGTAAATGGTATTTCAATATGACACTGGTGGTGGATTTCCTTCAACCCAAAGGAGCACATCACCTTCCCTGTGCCCTGGCAAAGACCTTTTATAATGTCCTTGATTTTGTTGAAACTGTCTTGCACAAGCTTCCACTTTCATATGGCTTAATTTATTATCTGTATGCATGCTCACGCTCGTCTCTCTCTGTCCACCCCTCCAGAGCCCATGCACGGCCCACAAAAGCTGGAAGTGGTGGACATCCAATCCAAACAGGTGACGTTGCGCTGGGTGCCTCTGGGCTACAACGTGACCCGCTGCTACAGCTACAACCTGACCGTCCAGTACCGCTCCAAGGTGGCCGCCAAGGAGGAGACCCGCGAGGAGGTGGTCTATGACACCCAGAGCCGCGATCCTCAGCACACCATCCACAACCTGACACCCTTCACTAACCTCAGTGTCAAGATGGTGCTGCGCAATCCAGAGGGGGTCAAGGAGAGCACGGAGCTGGAGGTTCAGACTGATGAGGATGGTAAGAGTGATGCAAGGTTACTTCCTGTACAGGTCAGGGAAGAATTACACCAGAGCTTTTCTGCCTTTGTTTGAAAGAACAGATAGATTGAGAGGAAAGAGAGGGCAGTCATAGAGCAAAGGGCTGCAGGTATAACAAAGAGAGTGTAACGAAATATCTAAACAAACCCACATAGCAACCCAGAAACCCTTACTGTTTAATTATAGAAAATGTAGAATACAGTCATTTCACTGGAGAACTATAATGTTGTGTCAATGATATAGACAATGTAAGAGCAGAGAACCAGGCTGATGTATACAATTGAAAAGACAGGTTAGTGTAATTCAGGAGGAAACACAGGTTGCTGACTGTGAAATTAAATGTAGCTACTTCTTACTAATATTATGATTTAATCCTGCATAAATTGCATATTTAATGTTTCGCAAAAAACACAACAGACCTTATTCAGGCAGACCGAGATGGTGAGGTACTGTAGGCGATTTCCAGATAAAAAATATTGGATAAAACAATAATTTCCTTTCCGTTTGTAACATATTTTATAGGTTTGGCTGAAAGAGATTTAGCTAAATTGAGTTATCTGCTAATATACTGTAAGGAAAGCAAACAAACAACCCAAGATTCAAATAAATACATTAAAACTACAATATTTAAAATATTACATTACTTATATTTACCTTATTTTAGAGGAAGGAAAAAAAGCATAGCAGAAAAACTCACCTTTATTATAACATTTGTGACATTTTGATCTTAAACATCGGTGGATAACTCTCACCTGATCATAAAAAGCTTGCACAAAAGGTACATTTCTGGATTCTCCAAATATCTTTAAGGGGAGCACGAGTCAAACGAAAATCTTCTGTGTCGTCTGGTTGGTTCACCTCCTTCAAAGATGAAAGATCATCCGTGTTGCATCAGCATACACAGGAAATGAACTCTCAAGGAGCCTCCAGATAACAAACAGGCTCAGCTGACGAAAAGAGGTGTGTGTGTGTGTGTGTGTGTGTGTGTGTGTGTGTGTGTGTGTGTGTGTGTGTGTGTGTGTGTGTGTGTGTGTGTGTGTGTGTGTGTGTGTGTGTGTGTGTGTGTGTGTGTGTGTGTGTGTGTGTGTGTGTGTGTGTGTGTGTGTGTGTGTGTGTGTGTGTGTGTGTGTGTGTGTGTGTGTGTGTGTGTGTGTGTGTGTGTGTGTGTGTGTGTGTGTGTGTGTGTGGTGTGTGTGTGTGTGTGTGTGTGTGTGTGTGTGTGTGTGTGTGTGTGTGTGGTGTGTGTGTGTGTGTGTGTGTGTGGTGTGTGTGTGTGTGTGTGTGTGTGTGTGTGTGTGTGTGTGTGTGTGTGTGTGTGTGTGTGTGTGTGTGTGTGTGTGTGTGTGTGTGTGTGTGTGTGTGTGTGTGTGTGTGTGTGTGTGTGTCCCACATGAGGGGTTAAAGGACCACATTTCTTTGGCAGTATATTCCAGCTCGAGTAAACAGCAGAAAGATTACAATTCCCAAGAGGTTACTCGTTCATCTTTGTTTGCAACAGATTTCCAGCTGTAGGAAAGTGTTTTGCTGTTAAACATGTCAGGGAGTGTTTTGAGTGACAATGACGCGATAAATCTCACAAAGTCCTATTAAGCTATGTTTGACTTTGGCTCACGGCCATTTGTGTACTAGGTCCTTGAAGAGCTATTTTATTGATTGTTTTATGCACATCAACACGGACTGCTGTGCTGTTTAAATCATAAAAGAAAACACTGAAGCTGCAAAGTATGAACTTATTTTTTCAAACATTTGACTTGCCTTGAAAATTATGCACAGAAGATGAAAGAAATATCCATAATATGAATTCACAAGGGTCCTACTGTGTTTGCTTTTTCTACACCTTGAACAATTCTACTCTGTCACCAGTTTTAAGAAACGATTATTTGTTCCACAGTGCCAGGGGCTATTCCTCTGGAGTCCATTCAGGGCAGTGCCTATGAGGAGAAGATCATCCTGAAGTGGAGAGAGCCGGCGCACACCTACGGGATCATCGTTCAGTTTGAGGTACTCTAGCTCCAGGGTTAGCTAAATGTTGAACAGCTTTAGAGCGGAAAACAGACGTCCAATATGAGGCTGTTTGTTTCTCCTTCCTCCTCTCTATGGATCATGTGCATATGGGCAGTAGTGCACAGAGCTGTCAGAGAAATGTTCAAATAGATATTATCATGTGATTCCCTTTGTTGGCTTGAGCTAGGGTTTGAAAACAAAGTGAATCTGCTAGTTGGGGAACAGTATTTCATAAAGGGAGATTGCCAGTTACAGAAGGCATATTAAAGGTTATTCAGCTTGTTTTTAGGAAGATGTGTTCCTCAAACTAGTTTAGATAAGGTGTGAGTAAGGTACCATGGATATCTTATTGCTTTTTTCACATGAGCAAGGTACAGATAAAAGGCAGAACGACTTGCATATTAAATAAAAAGGATTAATGGTCGGTCTTGGTCAGGTTTCATTTCCAAAACGGTATATAATAAACTCAGTAAAATCTTTTGACGGTTTTTAATTAAAATGATGGGCATGTCTTAGACAATTCACCTTTTTAAATGTCTCAGTTATTTGTTCTTGAAGTCACAGGCCTGTGTTTTAAAGCCATTAAGTGCAAACCTTAACTGTTTAAATCACATAGGATCCATGTTTGTGGCACAGCCTAAAAAACGAAATCCCTCCGTTAGGTTTGCTAAAGTCACGAGTTTCACCACAGTATAAACCAAAGCTTCAGTTTTCCTTTCCACCCAAGTGTGTTTCACAGTAGTTCATCATTTAACCAGGAGAGAATCATCTTCAATCTGCCAAGAACTTCAGTCCTTCGACACATGAGCGACCTCTAAAGAAAACACAATCTCTGAAACACATATCACGATTCAGCACCCGGCAAATGTTGACATAAGGCTCCAAACGGCCCTTTCCACTCTTGTCTCGGAGCTGCATTGAGTCTTGAATAATAGAAACAGTCTTCACACACACACACACACACACACACAGGCGGTATATGTACACATTGATCTTAACCAGCTTAAGGTGGAAGTAATCCTCCAGCTTTTCCCAAAGATTGATTCTCCTCTGTTGATTCTCCCTCTTGTTCGCCCTTTGCTCACGCTTGATATTTTGACTAGGTTAGCAATCATTGACGGGGCTGTTCTTCATACGAGGAGCGCAGATTGAATAGTAAAAGAGATGCAATCAGGGTCGCTGTATAGGTTGCTCTATCCACTGCCTTGTTATCAGATGAATGAAATATGACTTACTCTTGTATCGGCACAGACATTTCAATCCAGGCCAGAAAGTCTTAAAGTCCTCCGAATAACAAGGCAGTGTTTATCAAGCGCGTGTAGTGCAGTGTTGTGTACTGTGTGCAGCACTTAGAGGTGCCGACAGCATGCGGGAAAACAATGTCTATAAAAACGGTAGGTTTACCACACACTCAATCACTTTTAGAGCAACATGTTTCAGTTGTTTATCTATTTAAAATTTCATGGAACAAGGAAAAGCCTTCAGAGCAAACGGCGTGGTTTGCAATGCCGCTTTGTCAGGTTCACTCATATTTACGTTGAGGCAAATGTGTTTCACTTTATAAAATACCTACTGCAGGCTATTATATTCCTACGCTGCAGCAATCACTTCTCTCTGTGTAAGTCTAAGCCTTTACAGTATTGTAATGTGCCGAGTTGAAGTGAGCTATAAGTCACAAATAATCCTCGAATAACACATTTTTCACGAGGCCCTGTTGCAAACATTAACAGTGTTTTGTGTCTGCTTGGTTATTAATTTCAGTCCGAAGTTTTCTGTTTATGTGAACCATTATCAATTAGGGGTATAAATGGTAAAAGCTAGTTTGGTTGCTTTATGGGAGAAAAGGATTTATATATAATGTTCTGTTAGAAGGGAGACACTGGGCACATTGAAAATATGCTTTTTGGAGTTTTCCCTTTCCTTTAGTGGGTTATATAGGTTTTGGTGTATGTCAATGGTCTGCTAATGCTAAAATCCAAAGTTCCCTACAAAGGGAGTTCCTCTCCCACACAACCCCCCCCCCCCCCCCCCCCCCCCCTGCCTGAAACACCTCCATTGGACTCCTTTGTTTACTTCCCTAACATTATGACATCACTATGTAACATTCACGCTTCTATATAAAGACCTTTTTGACCATTTAAAGAAAGTAATCATCACAAAATACAAATATGAACCTGAAAATAAGCATATGTCCTCTTTACAATTTGGAAAGATAGGGAAATAGTTATTCATTATATTAAATTTGTAATATTTGTTGTGCTCAATGGTATATACTGTATGGGTGCCCATAAATGGATAGGGATGTCAGCAGTACCTTAAATATCTGCTGTTTATATACAGTAAAGCATCATTATAGATTTTCTAAATATTACAAAACATCCTGACGTTATATTGAATCAGCTTTGTTTTAAAATAAGACTAATATTCATATCATCCTAACAAATGAGGTATAGCGAGCAGCAGCATGTTCCAGGTGTGTCCCCTTCACACCGCTGCAATCTGACTCTCTCTGGTTTAGACAAATAAACCACAATGCATTCTGCCGGTATTCCCCAGAAGTTGCTTCTTATAAGTCAGGACCTTGCTTTGATTTGACATTATCAAAGGACTCAAAGTGAAATACGTCTGACAAGGCCTGATATCAAAGGGATTTCAGCTCCACTCCTTTCTGACCAATCTCTGCAAGAGCCATTTCATTGACAGCTTTTCAGACTGACACAAGCCTGTTTTTCTTTAAAGGCATGCTGCAGGTTCTCCAAATATTCCTTGTTTATCAGTCATATTTTGTAATGTTTGTGAGTAAGCATTTTATTTATTTGATTGATGTTGTTGTTAGCTGAAAATAACATTATCTTTTGTAGGGAAATCACAATAAAAATATTCTTTTTTTCCAGAAAGGTTATTTTATATCATGCAATTTCCCCTTAGACAAACATTCTTATAAAACATGCAGCCTTTTCATATGACTTACATTTAGATTAATATTTACCGTAGGTCTATCTGAAAAGGTTAGAAATCGTCTATGTATAGAAGTATTAAGCAGACTTTAGGTGGGTTTTCTCTTCCGCTCCATCTTATTTTATGAGAACAGAGTACACAGTATCTTTCATCAACAGTTAGCTTCCTTCAATATTGTACGAGCAAAGGTGCTGGAGATTATGCAGGCATTTATATTTTATGAATGCTGAATAAATTCAACATTTTCCTGCCTCGGATAGAAAAATGTAAGCCGATGTGATTTGAAAAGCCTAATATAGCAGAATAGTTACAAGCCAGCTCAAATTAATTTGCTAAAATATTCTTCATAATTTTTCCTGTCAGCTCCATTATAATTGTTCAAACCTGTCCATGTGCCCACTGTTGACAAGTCATTTCAAATGCCTCTCCCTGAAATGTTATGATATAGGATTTGGCATCACAGACTCATTTCCCAGACAAAGACTAAATGAGAAGGCCTCGAAGCATTTCAAAACTTGATGGACACAAATTATGCAGCACTCCTAACTCCTTTTGTGTTTCTTAATTGGAATTATAATGGAGGTTTTCCTTTACCAGCAGAGGCATTTTCTTAAAGTGGGACTGTACAGTTATTCAAAATGGATATTAGAAAAAAAAAACACTCACCTTAATGCCTCCCTCCAGAGCCCCCTGTGTTTATTAATGGGGAAGGAATACATTAAGTGTATTTCCTCTCTCCTTTAAACCACAGGCTTGCGTCAGCTTTGGCTTTTACAGTAGAGACTAACGGCTGTTATGAAACAACTCCTCTCCACAGACCTTTTATACCTCGCTAATTTTCTGAAATGCCAGCTTAAAGCCTTGTTGACATAAAGTCAGAAGCTCGCACAGAAAAAAAAGAGCTACTTATCTCAACATAAGACTTTTTAAAGATTTCTCTGTGGCATTTGGCTTTACTGAAAAGAACAGCAGAGACAGAGAAACTAATTAAAAACTTTTCTGTTGTGTTTTGGACTACATTATAACAAAAAATCAATATGTTTTCCAAAAGTTCACTTGTTTGGTGTCATATGAGCATGTCATGTTTGTGTATAAATCATGCCTAGTGTATTACAAGACAATACTGAGAGTCTACAGTTGCTTGAGTTAAATGTATTCATGCTAACATGCTCCCATTAAAATGCTAGCATGCTGATGCTAAGCAGGTATAGTGTTTAACATGTTAACCATCTGTCTATGGGTAGCACGCTTACGTTTACTATTTAGTTTTAAACACGAAGAACAGCTGAGGATGAGGTAACGTCATTAGTACAACAATACTATAGAGAGGCGAAGTCCCTCCCTTTCCGGGGGAGCTCCATGGGACCTTATTTCGGAGAAATTATGTATTGAAGTCAATGGAGAGAGAAAGATTATCTTTCGATCCCGTTTGAATTGTGCCACGAATTACACATATGATGTTTGTCATTTTAAAAGATAATTTTGCAAGTCAAAAAAATTCAAATGTGTCGTAAAACTGTGAAGTAACACATTTTTTGGTGTGAAACCGCTCAATGAACTACATCTCTCGTCTCGCACCACACACCAAGACGGCCGTCACGTTGGCACATTTCACTTCTTTCTTTCAGAATGAGGCGAAAAGTATTAAAAGAGGTGAAAATCACTCCAAGTCTGGGCATGTTGAGAGCTGTACATACACACAAGGGGAGTTAGTCGGTTCCGTAAGAGCCAGCATGCGGGACCGGGATTCTGGGATTTGTAGTCTTTCTAGTTGCGTATTTTTCATAGTCTTATATTTCAACAGTTTTACGACAAACTGTGACTTTTTTGACATGGAAATGATTTTTTAAGATTGACAAACATCATATGTGTAATTCATGGCACAATTCAAACGGGATCGAAAGATACGTTTTCTCTCTCCATTGACTTCAATACATAATTTTTCCGAAATAAGGTCCCATGGACCGGAAGTAGATGGGCGAGACTTCGCCTCTCTATTGCATTTACATTTAGCTGTAATAAGCTGAGTATAGCTTCGGTCGTTTTTGTATAAGCATATACAGAAAGAAGTAGAAGTAGTACAACATAAGACTCTTTTTTTGTTGTCTGTTTTTTTACAATTTTGCAATTCTTCACCATAACACAAATAATTGTGCAAATGAATCCCCTCCTTTCCTACCATCCCCCAGCAGAAATAAGCTCAAAGAAAATACAAAAATACTGAATAGTTAATAGAAAGTTCAAAATACCAAAACAAAAATCTAGCCAGCTGCATGCAGCAGCACCAGAGTCCATGTACGGCGCATGATGGTGCACAGATGGCATATTTGCCGTTGAGCTCAGATGATGTGTGGGTGATTTTCAACGCCATCAAACAAAAGCTGAGTTTAATGGCAAGTAAATATGTTTTGCCGCTGACAATCATCTGGTTTTAGCTCCCTAAAGAAGGCAGGAACATAAGACTCTGCAATAAGAAGAATTATGTTGTGGCTTTCTGTAGGAATTTTGAATGGAGCAGAGGGGAAAGTGGAACAATGGATCGAAAAGCTGCAGAGACCTTTTTTTAAATTCACTTTATGAATGATGTGCATGTAAACAATAGTGCATAAGGAACATTGTGGGTATCTCTCTATGATTAATGTATGTGTTTATGACTCTAAAAGCTTTCTAACAACCCCTCCACATCCCTTATTTTACTCTATTTCTCTCGCCCCAATTTTATGTTTGTTTTGTATTGGAAAAACCAATAAAGACAATGTTTAAAAAATATATCTATTTTTACGATTATGTTCATAAGTTTACTTTTTCATAATTATATAATTAATGTGAACAAAACTATGAATTAGCATGAGTGGAATAGCTTAAGCTTGCCTAGCCTTTTGGATGCCTCGTAAAATAAAACATCAAACCATTTCCTTGCAGGAATACAGTTCTTCTTCTCAGTGCAGAGTACCAGAGGCCGCTATCAGAATATTCATCATTTCCTTCCTTCCTTCCTAGATCTCCTACAAGGCAGTGAGCTCCTTTGACCCCGAGCTTGACCTCTCCAACCAGAGTGGGAAAGTAGTGAAGTTGGGCAACGAGACCACCCACATGTTCACAGGCCTCTACCCCGGCTCCACTTACTCCTTCACCCTGCGCGCCAGCACCGCCAAGGGCTACGGCCCCCCCCATCATCACCCAGTTCACCACCAAGATCTCAGGTCAGTCGGGTCAAAAGCATGGCCACTCGGTGTGTGGATGAAGTGGAATAAGTAGTGGAGCACTTACTGCCGCTGGAGTTATTTAGGTCCAAATGTGAGGAGGGAAAATGGAACTTGATTATAACTGGAACAAAGAAAGAAAGCACTCATTTCCCTTGCATTGTCCCGGGGGTTAAAGATTAAAGTAAAGCGAGTGGGTCATTATTGTGAAATCAACCAACATTGCTGAATAAATCAATTATTTTAACACATTATATTGTTTAAAAAAATATGTTTTTATGTCCACTGGAGTCTATAATCAGAACTGCGTCCATAGCAACTGTTCAGAAATAACAGACCACATAATTCCGTAATTGACCAATCAGGATGGAGTATTAAACAAAGCCTTGTAATATATTTATTTTTCTTATTTTATTCAGCTATTGCTCTACTTGATTCAATCCTGGTGCTGTTTTGTTGAATATTGACGCTATTCTCTCTGGAAATTAAAATAATTTTGAATCCATTGTCCAATTGTTTAAAGACAAAATGTGCCATAGTTTCCATGGCTTGATTTAGATCATGACCGTGAGGCGTGTTGGCAATTTTTCTTCGTTTGCACATTTTTATATTGAGATCTATGTTCACATCTTCAAAGCATTTCTTTTGGCAAGATGCTGTGAATATGTGACAGCAGCAAATGTTTCACTTCTCTGTTATTGCTCTACTTAATGATTAAATTATGGTGCTGTAAAGGGAAAAGGCAGTAAGTGCTCAGTGTAAAACTGAGAAAATTGGCAGCAATTTTTTTTTATTTCTGTTTACTGCGGAGCTGAATGACTCTTTATACAACATGGTGCAGACATAAATTGAACTGTGTTGAACCTTTGCATTGCAGTGTAGTAAAGACCCTATAATGTTTGTTTTTTCCTCCTTAGCTCCTTCCATGCCGGCGTATGACCAGGAGACCTCTCTGAACCAAACGGACAGCACCGTCACTGTACTGCTCAAACCTGCCCAGAGCAGAGGGGCCCCCGTGAGGTAAGCTTTCACAATCAGAACTCACACACACACACACACACAGGGGCGGACTGGGACTACAAATCAGCCCGGGACTCTCGACCGGCCCACTTTGGTACCGCCGGCCCACCTCGGTACCGCAAGTAATTACCACTAGTAAATTATCAACGGGGGGGGGGGGGATAGTGACTTATCCGAGCGGCCCACCTCCCTGCCGCAAGTAAATACCGCTAGTAAATTGTCGACGGGGGGGCGGGGGGGGAGTTTGCTAGTGACTGTGACTTATCCGACCGGCCCACATCGTCTGACCGGCCCACTTCAGTACCGGCCCATCGGGATTCATCCCGAACGTCCCGATGGCCAGTCCGCCAAACAAAACAGCACATTAAAACACCAGGAACCACCATCGGCAACAGACATTATCAAAGAGCTTGTGTTATCAATACCCCACCGTGCAGGGAAATTGCCAGGATATTCAGTAGCTTACTGTACGCTTCTCATTTTCTCAGATTTATTTGTTTGTGGATTTTGATCCTGTGAAAAAAGAAGCACATCTCTTTGAAGACGAGAACAAAACCCAGTGCAGCCAAGGCTAGCTTCAGGATCTCTTTCCTTTACAAGTCTTTTATGTAGCGGGCTGCCCACCCCGAGCCACCACAGGCTTTCTGCGAAACGAAGGAATCCTGCCTGCTTGATGCTGCATTTGTTACTCATTATTAGGGAAGCAGTGCAGCTGTACTGTGTACAGAAAATGCCAAGCTGTTGGGCAAATGTCATCATTTTGGTTTACCCAAGGCCACCGTCGGCTTCTGGGAGCAAAACTGCTTTCTTGATGATCTTTTTGTTAGTCAGTATTAGCTTACTTTTGCTTATACGCTTATTCTGTCAATGCAGCCTAGAATTCAAGCTTATCCTTCCTGTTTATTAGCATTTTGTTGCCAGGTAACAGCTTGGGTTCAAATGTGTTTTCCTTGTCAGCCATTGATATTAATATTAGGGATGCTCCGATCGATCGGCCGCCGAATCTGAACAGCCTTAAATTAAATTATTCAGGTCTATTTTTCTGTACCAAAACCTTACATAGTTGTATTGCACCTCAAATGTTTCGTATAAGAAAGCACGTATAAGAATTAAAATTTAAAATAACATTTTGTCATATATCAAGAAAGTTATTTTATCCGAAAAAAGGCATTATTGAATAAATAAGGAATAAAATAGCTGGTTTGCATGACAATTTCTACTATTCTATATTTTAAAGTCTGAAACACTCTTTCTGTGTAAATATAAAACTATAGAACAATTAGGTTAAACTAGACCTGGAACTACAGGAAATCAGATAGCCTACCAGCACAAACAAGACGTGTTAATTAGCTCGCTTCAGGGGTGCTGGTAGACAGATTCACCTTCATATTTAACAGATAAGAGTGTGGTATTGATCTTATCTTTTGGCAAACACATTTTCAAAGATGAAAATGAATCCTTTCAACTTAAAGCACACATAAGGATATACCTTTCTACATCCTTCCTAAGTCTACACGAGAGTTAGCAGTAGTGCACTGTCTATGCCAATATTAAAGGAAAGAAAAAAAGCTAAAAATAGCACAACAGAGGGACCCTAAAAGAGGGGGTTAACTCCTTCATATGAGGAGTGATAAACGCTAGTGCTCCCTGTAAAACTCAATTTTACACTATCACCTCATCTGAGTCCTTTAAAGATTACAGCCTGGAGATCTTTAGTCAGGCTTGTCAGCTCATGTTTACCGTATGTGCAGCTGCCCAGATTAATGCCCCGGCGCCAAATGGAGAGAGGCCTGAGCAAGAAAGACAGAGTGATCGCTTTTTAATCTCCTCGCAGGTACAATTCAGAAGGCCTTATTCATGCTGCCATTCTTTCAGTGGGCTAATTACAAACCCCTAATTATAATTAACGGAGTGTCGTGAATCGGAGCTTCCATTAATTAGCATGCTGGGCTCCTCTGTTGTGTACCGTTGGAAGGCATGCTCACCTCGCCACCAGATGAAAGAGATGCGTCTTTGGAGATGTGACCTCAAGTTCAAGATAGGTGCGGTAGGTAAGTTTGAGAAACCGGCTCGAGATACACTTGTTGTTATATTCCATGGAATGCTCTTAACATCCCGATAGCAATGAATATCTTAAGTGCTTTGACAAAAAATCCATAAAAAAATGTCATCTGTGGAAGCTGTAGTACTGTAAAAAGCACGACCAATCATTTTAGCCGGCCCGGCTAAAGTAACTGGATGGCCTACCTGCCTGTCAGCCTTCCATCTGTGCACAAACTTATCTCGTGCCCTCATTGGTCATGTGCGCGTTCGTGTGTGTTGGAGGAGGGGCTCTGTAAGGAAGTAGCAGATTTCTTCCGGCTGTGTATTTTCAAATTCTAGCGCACTCGAGCTGGTTTCTCCAAAATTACCTACCCTACCTTGAACTGTTTCTGTGACAGTGCTTGTTTTTTATGATATAAAGAGAAAATAATGTGTTTTGATACATTTTATTTTGAGCATCATATATGTTTTATGAATCTCTCAAGATGATCCATTAAAAAAATCTAACCATCATTCATCACATGGAGTTCAGCACATGGCAAAAAGAACAACTCAAAACTAATGTAGGCGCGCTTTGATCACAGCAGAGCCTCTCCACGTCTAAACTTTAGGGGTTTTCAGGTACACAGTTTTTTTCCACACACCTCCTCCCTCTGTCTTAAATCTCGCAGGACATAAAGGTCGGTATGCTGCCTTCATGTGCGCGCCTGATGTCTGGAAAAAATATGAATTGCAAAAGAAAAGAGGTGGTGGAGGGCAGCAAACAGGAGAGATTATGATGCAGGCCTAAGACGAGATACGAGCAGGCTTTTGAAGGTTTTTTCCACCTCCACCTCGAGTGACACGCGATGCCTTTGAACATTTAAGGTGACTATAAAGTAGCTTGTGTGGCAAGTCTGTTGGGATCTGCTGTGTGGCCAAAAATGATAATATTTTTGGTCTCCTGAATTTCCACAGCTCCAAAAATTTCAACATATTTAATCTTCTTTTGGATTGGAGGTTTGAGTAAAGCATGACCAAGAAGTTTTAGACGCATATAAAGAGATGTTTTCCAAATTGTTTCTTGAGCTTGACTACTGGAAAGAGTCCCATACGTCTAAAAACTCTAAAACATAGATAATCCTTTGAGCATTTTGACAAACAATCATTTAAATTCCACACCATAGTTAGATATAATGTTGTGCTGCCATGTTTCAAGAGGAGCCATCACTTTTCTAGAGTGGTGGGAGGCTCATTTTGAAATTGAACACTTTATGAAATCAGTTTTAAAGCCCATAAGAAGTAGTGATTTGACAAGGGAGAACACTGATCTGCAGCGCCACAGAGCAAAGCAGCATGAGGCTTGATTTGATAACGCAATCTTGCACACTGATTGGGTTTGCGAGGTAATAGAGCTCCAGACATTTGAGTTTCGAGCAGCAGATGTTTTGCTGTAATACAGGAAGGGGAACTCACTGCAAGATCACACGATAGCGGTAGCTCATAAAAAAATCAAGACGTAACAGACGACAAATGTCCGTTTCACTTCATCATCCTGCAGTCATACTGAAGTCAAATCATATTTCTAGGCAGACGTTGTCACTGCTGAGGGAGGCAGTCAATTCTTCATTTTTTCGTATAATTGCTAATCGGTATAACATTTCCAACTTGGATTTGGCTTTCCAATCTCCAGGGACGACACACGCAGCCGGGAACAATTTTTACCAGAGGGGACACTGTTCCTTTAAGAGGATTAGTGAACTGTCTATCAGTCATGTCGTGTTTAACTAATGTTTGCAATGGCCCCTCGTCAGGGAATACGCCTCCTCCATGGCATCAAAATAAATATTCACATGCTTCTGAAGAAATAAGTGATTTGAGATGCTTTCCTTATCGTTCAAACCACTAAATCAGCCCTTCTCTCTTATTCTGACATAACCTTTGCCTTGGGCAAGCTTTAACACATATACATAAACAAGAAAATACAGCGGCTTCTGGCGTTGAAAGTATTATATTGAGGAAACCGAGTTCCTCTGTAGTTTGTACCCTGTAGCATCAGATTATCTGTGCCCAACCATGGCCTGAAATCAGTTAAGTGATGTGCTACAGTCTTAAAATAAGCACTAACTTCCTTTGATCACGGCATGGCAAACGCTAATAGCTGTGCCTCAACGTGACACAACTCGTTGCTTTTTACGACTTTAATGGCAAACGTAATCTATTGCATTTTCTAATTTGTTTGCTTTATAGCTTTATGGACACCAGGGAAATATAAGGAGTAAGAAGGCAGACTCATGAAAGAAGGATGCTGGGTCAGGAGAAGTGTGTTACTTACAACCGCTCTTAAATCAGACATGTAGGCATATAGAGCCAACCGATTAGCATTAGAGCGAGAGACAGTGATTGAAATGCTCCCCATACCCCTTCCCTCATCGACTCAAACAGCCCGCAGTTCTCCCCTATCAGCCCTCATGAAAAATAAATCTGAGTTTCAGGTCACAATCCAGTCGATTCCGAGTCAATCCGCCATAATTGGTTGGCGTCACATGGCGGCATAGCTGAAATCTATCGGGCAGCGAGGCTGGAGGAGGCCTAATTGGTGTCAGCTCAGGTTGCACCGCTTCTGCAGGAATACAGGTCTTCCCTGCAAGCCCCCTGGCAGACACAGCTTATACCATTCTGCTCGTACACTCTTCATTCCTCTCTCCTCCCTTTTGTCTTTCCATCTTCTGCTCGGGGAGAGAGGTTGAGGATTTCAGCAATTTTTGAATTAAATACAATTATGCACCTTTCACAGAGGCGTGTGTGAGCGGTGGGTTTCCTCTCCTGAGGTCTTTCTTTTAATCTGTGGACTAAAGGTTTAGTTGGCTGTTAGCAGTACCTAGCATTGAGCTGAACCTGTTCATCACTTGTCTAGCAACACTGTGGATTAGCAGTGCTGACAGATCTTGTATTTCGGGCATATTTATGGAACTTATAGTAGAAAAATGTACATTACTCAAATACTTTACTTAAAGGGACCCTATTATGCTTTTTTGGGTTTCCCTTTCCTGTAGTGTGTATGTATATAGGTGCGTGTGAATGCAAATGGTCTGCAGAGTGAATTTCTCTTTCTTTCTCTCCCCCCCCCCCCCCCAAATTTGTTTGCTTCCCTAACATTATGACATCATTATGTAACACTCGCGCTTTTATTGGCTAGCACTCCAACAAATTGTATGTGATAAGCTTAGGGGCGGGACATCTCTAAGCGGTTGACCAATCACAACAGAGCCGGCCAGCTAGTCAGAGCAGACTGGGAGGCAGTATGAGAAAAGTAAAGACCTTTTTGAACATTAAAGCATGGAGACATGTCACAGTAGAGACACAAAATGGAAGTATAAAACTGAAATGTTGCATAAAATATTAAATGCAAAACCATTACTTATATTGAAGTATGTATATACACTGAGGTATTGCTACTTATTTCTATAAACGATCTAAGTACTTCTATCACCGGATCATGTGATTGTCTATTTGCTATCGGATCAAATGAAACAACAGCTTCAAAGTATTTTTTTTGTTCTTGATATCAAGCTATTGGTGTTCATCTGTTGTTTGTTGTTTTTTCGTTGCTCATTCATGTCACACTGAATCAGGAAAATGACTAAATGACTCTGGTCTGTCAAAATGACTCATAATGTAGATTGTGAACTCAGCATGAGGTGACAAGGTGTCATCTGCTCAAAGGCACATTAACATGACAGCAGTAATCACGAAAAAAAGGAGATAATTTCATTTTAAAATCACTAGTCACTTTATATGTTATAAGCAATTGAGGTGAAACTATTATGATTTTCAAACACAGTGTAAGTGTGCTTACATAGAGCAATTTGCTGCTAAAAGGTGCCTTGTGGTGTTATTGTCGCAATCACTTACAAAGTTCAACCGAACATTGTTATTAAATTGCAAATTCATTGTGTGCTAGTCTTTAGTTTCCTGCCGCAGTAAATATTCTGTGAAAGAGAAGCAGTGGTGTAGATTTCCACATTACACTTCTTACCCCTTGGAGCCTCATAGCCTATGGCACTTGGTATTGTGCCCGAGGAAAAGCAGAACCATTCACACTGTGTCTTTCATTAAGTCATGGCACAGCCACATCATCATATCCTTAGAAGCCCCCCAGGAGGGAACCAGCTCTTGTTTTTGTTTCACTATCTGCAGATTGATTTGGAATATAAAATACCAATATGTGCAAGCTATTGGTAAGTGTGCAATGCTACAGCAAAGCAAAAACAGAACATTGGGCTATCATTTCAATATGGCGTCACTGAATAAAAAAACATGGAGCCTCTTTCTTAGGACCCTTAAAAGTGTATCTGTAAAACCTGATTGGTGCAGCTCTATGATTGACAGCAGATATCACTCTAAAGACTTCCATCATTGCCCACATCAGATCTACAGTGTTTTGGCTGAGGCCTCCTCACTGATTTCTCTGGCGCTCTGCAGCTACTTAAGGGGCTCCCACGTACCGTCAGCTCCTGCCCTTTGACCTCTGCTCTCAATAGGAGACAGTAATTAAGGGATGATTTCTCCTGCAGACTCTCGGCAGGATTAAATATTTCATCACATCCCTTCCCGGCACTAAATAGGAGAGCTCTGAGGAATTGGGACACACCCACCCAGAGCAAAGGGGGATTTTTCTAATGACACTGCAAGCACCTTATGATAAACTATAGGGTTAAAGAGCACATGCTGTACACACAAGGGGACACTTAATCATCCAGTACCCACCGCGGGGAACAATTGATCATCTCCGGGGCTGTTTGTACTGTGACTACGCAGCTTAAGAGAACAGCCACTACAGTGCACATTTCTTCTTCTCCTTGTTGTTACTAATAATGTTGGCAAAGGGAAAAGGTACAGGGTCATCGAAGCTCTACATCCTGCCAAACCCGACCCATTGTTACTTTTGTATGGCAATGAAAGGAATAATTAGAAAAATATGAATCACAATATTTGAAAAGGCCGTTTGCAAAATAGACAAGTAATTGGAAAACTATTTTTAAGAACAAGTGCATAGCCCTTTTTAAAAACGAATTTATACAGATACAGAAATGGGTCCTTGTGGTCTTACAAACATTTTGAAGGCATTTTCTTCCTCGTTTGCAGACATGTGCGGAGCCGCCAGACTTTGAAAACCCGCGTGTTTGCGCTTTCATGTGCGTCCTATGTACTTCATACAAACAAAACCCCCACCCAATCTCCAAAAATGGCTAATGGTCGAAAAATCCACATGGTAACTTTAAATAAAGAAATTCAATTCAACAATATGCTAATTACTTATTCATTATCTTTTTATTTGTAAATATATCATCCAATCATGACAATTAAATATACTGAAAATCAGAATTCAGCTTTCCAAAACCAGAGAACGAGAGCATGTCACATCATAGTATTCATTTTTATTCATTCACACATTTTTCATGGAATAATTCAGTGAGCCGTTTAACTTTGCTCCGTCTTCTGTAATAATAACTTGTTGTTTGCATGACTCCCTTTTTGAAATGGAACACTAGTCCCCAATCATGGCTGGTTATCCTGCGTGGCAGCTGTAAACAGACTCTTTGTCACTCAGTGACTCAATAGATTTAACAGGTGGATGCGAGATGCATACTAACATGAAAGTGTATAAGACAGTCAGTCTCCCCTCCAGCTAAGTGGCCGGTTCAGAGACAATGTCATCTCTGTCAGAGGCACAGAGGGCTGCAGTTTTGATCGAGTTGAACACAAGGCACGGAGGGAGAGGAAATGGAAGGAGCCGTTAACCTTTTCAGTTGTTGAATAATGGAAATGCAAATAATGTCAGGCCCGGTCCGGTGTCACTGCTCATTTATCCTGCACTGTATTTGTAAGGGTATATTGTTGGGATTCTATTGGTTTTTATGCACTTACTCTATCTATAACTACTTGTGTATAGCAATGCTTGAGCTAATCAAAAAGCTAGCAGCTGGTCTTTTAACTGGCATACAACAAACACAATCACATACTGTAAAGGTCTCAAAATGTCAAACTTTGAAATGCAAATCTGAAATTACTAGATGAGAAAGTCATTATCTGTCAAATATCTCACGTCTAAATAAATATATTTCTAGTGATTTGGAGCTCAGCAACGTGCGTTAATGTGCCAGTCATAAAGAAACCATATAACACTTTGTAATCCTTCCAAACAACAAAATATGCCTGCTTTGCCAACAGCGTTCTTGAAACCCTTGTCTGGCCCATTGGAGTCTTTTAATTCAGTTTCTCCTGTTTGCAGTGCGTACCAGGTGGTGGTGGAGGAGGAACGTCCACGCAGAGCACGAGGCACAGCAGAAATCCTGCGCTGCTACCCAGTTCCCATTCACTTCCAGAACGCCACGCTCCTAAACTCCCAGTACTACTTCACCGCTCAGTTCCCCGCCGGCGGCATCCACTCGCCTCAGCCCTTCACTGTGGGGGACAACAAGACCTACAACGGCTACTGGAACGCCGCTCTGCTGCCTCAGAAGAGCTACAGCATCTACTACCAGGCTGTCAGCACTGCCAACGGGGTGGGTGCTTCTAAAACATGTATTTTATTCATGCAGTTCAGTTGAAGAGGCACTTAACACGAGCATGGTGTTTCTAAATAGGACTTTATTCAAAAATACAGTATGACCATTCTGTGTTTTCTTTACAACTAGTGGTAGAAAGGAGGCTAACCAAGAACCTAACTGCAATACTTGACTTTATTATTTCCATTTCTTTATGCATTGTACTTCTACTCGACTACATTTTAAAGGGGAATATTGTAAATGTTACTTTACTACATTTATTTGGCATTTAAAGATTTTAAAAAGCAAGACATATGATCAGTTTTAAATGATTGAGTAGTGTAAACAAGCAGAATCCCTTTGGACCATAACAAAATCTGCATTTGTGTTATTTATCAATTATCCAGTTATATGACACATAAATATTATTCTACTCTATAAGGAATACATTTTGAGACTGTAAACGCATTATGTTTAAATACTTTAGGACTTAAAGGTAGGGTAGGTAAGTTGGAGAAACCGGCTCGAGATCGCTAGAATTTGAAAATACACAACCGGAAAAAATCTGCCACTTCCTTACAGAGCCCCTCCTCCAACACACACGAACGCACACATGACCAATGAGGGCACGAGATAAGTTTGTGCACAGATGGAAGGCTGACAGGCAGGTAGGCCATCCAGTTATTTTAGCCGGGCCGGCTAAAATGATTGGTCGTGCTTTTTACAGTACTACGGCTTCCACAGATGATATTTTTTTATGGATTTTTTGTCAAAGCACTTAAGATATTCATTGCTATCGGGATGTTAAGAGCATTCCATGGAATATAACAAAAAGTGTATCTCGAGCCGGTTTCTCAAACTTACCTACCCTACCTTTAAAGGTGGGGTATGTCATTTATTTCAGAAACACTTTTTGTTATATTCCATATTCGTGTGTGTTGGAGGAGGGGCTCTATAAGGAAGTGGCAGATTTTTTCCGGTTGTGTATTTTCAAATTCTAGCGCACTCGAGCTGGTTTCTCCAAAATTACATACCCTACCTTTAAGTAAGTACATTGTGGAATGAGTACTTTTATAAATGTACATGTACAGGTATATAAATAATTCTTCCACTGCTGGTTATAAAAGAAAATATAATTGCAAAGAGGACAAACGGAGGCAAAAAATAACACTTTACATGCTGAGTGTTGAATTCCCGGTTGACAGTTTATTGTTGGCAGCGTCTCTTACGGTACCGTGCTAATAGGCATATAATCTACCTCTGCAACTTGACGATTGGATTAGCATAGTCGAGAAACGTCTAATTTGTTTACTTAATTTAATAAACCTCAAGCACTAACATCAGAATAAACAAATGCCACAGAATTGAATTTGGAACGTGAAAGTAGTATTGTTTTCTAGTGTCTTATAGAGGACTGACTCTAACCTTCTGCCTAGTCAAACATCGCCTTTTCTTTTTAAATCCTTTGCATATCCACTTTAAAGTATACACAAAACAATGCTAAATATTATGGTGGGTTAAGGAGACTGAACGGCTGTCAGATTGATGGACTGGGCTTCTGAAAGGGACTGAGTGGCTGAGTAGAGAAGTCCCTGACTCTACAAAGAGGCAGACACATGCACACAGCAGCACAATTGCATTTGGCCTCTGATAGATGTGTCAGTCCTCTGGTGGGCTGTACCAACAGCACTGTCTCCACTCTTAATAAGCTGCAGCAGGGTCAAGCATTGAATACAGAGCTGTGTGCGTTGACATGCGCTCTGCCTCCATTACCGTGGCCCCGTTCTCCTGCCTCTTCCTATGGAGCTGTATGCCGAATACCAGACGAGCCTTTGATCAATGGCATTTAAGAGAGGCAGTTGTCCCAGCGGCAGTTAAGTGTGGAAGGCAGGAAACAACAACGGGGTTACCGATCTCACAGGTCGCAGCCTCTGTCTTCAAGTGGCACTTGGAGGAGCCCTCCCTCCGCGGAGACACAGCCGACAGCTCAATGGCGACTTCAAGAGCCCAACCGATTATGGTCCTGAATTAGAATCACCATAAACAGCCTCCTTGAGAAACACCGTCACGTCTTTAAGAAGGCAATAGAAATAACGTGAGGCCGGGCTGAATCCAATTAGCGAGTTTGCTCTTGAGAGAGAAGCACTGGCGGCCTGAAACTTTCCAGGTTGAACTGGTGAGCGATGTGAAGAGGCTGATAGTGCTCTTCCTCGCACAAACAGAATGAAAGAGCCCCCTCGTTGACACAGCAGAAAGCTCTGTTTCTGTGATGGACATTTCTGATGAAATTTCCACATTCAATGTTTTGTTTTACACTGGCCAAATGCACTCTCTTTCATGAAGCCATTACTGTCATATACGGCAAGCTTTAATTAATGTCTAACCATGTTAGAGTGATTTGTTTGGTCCTCTTAGACTAAATTAGCACTTAGAGAAGGTGAGTGCCATCCATGTATAGTTTTTGCGTTCTATTCAAATAAAAATCTAATATAACTTCTCATGTTGCCTTAAACAAAAGCACCATCGGACAGCTTGAAAGCGGCAGTAATGTGAATACACACGCACCGAGGATCACATGAACATTTTTTTCTCTTCATTATGCCTCTCATGGCCATTAAATGCTGTCCCTCCCATGTGTGCTCACTGCTCATTGGACAGCTTTGCTGGGTCAAATCCAGGGACACATCTCTCGTGTCTTTTGTGTTGTACTCATTCCCTTTCCGTGTCCTTTTTCCTGTTCAACAGACCATTGTTGACAACAAACTTCTCTGCCAGCAGCGAGAGCCGCGTTTCCTTTTTTTTTGTATGTTGTTGAAGGCTGTTGTCAGAGCTCAAACTCCATTACATATTCAGAAAGGCTCCCTGACGTGTCATTTTGGAGCTCCGCATGCTGGGTTGGTGTCGCTTGTCACAGGGCTCTGGTTTCTCCACAGTGGCTGACCACCTTGAGCCGCGGGCTGCCGACAGATCGCTGTTGGCTGACAAATCAGCAGCTCAGCACCACTAATCTGTGCTGTAGGCCCTCTCGCCTAACTGCATTTTGTGTCACAGTCATTGAGCTCAACAGATGATAGGGGACAGCGTGGAACTGACCGAGCTGTTTTGTTGTAACCCGTGTCTTCATAGAAAGGTGTTGTTGCAAGTGTGTGTCTTATGTGTGTCATATTAAACTCTGCTTCTCTTTCTTTTTCTTCCCTTTCATTTGTCTTATTTGCACAGGAGACTAAAATCGACTGCGTTCGAGTAGCCACCAAAGGTAGGGATAGATCCTTTGCGTATGCTTTCTGAGAACTAACTAAATTAACATGAACTTTATATGAACCGACAGTCACATCTCGCACACCTCATTAAGTTTATTGATGATGTTTGATGTGTTACCATTTACAAATGTCTTAAAAAGACAAAAAATGTCAGTCTTCACATCAATATATTGACCAAGTAGATGTTTTTTTCCATGACTCGGAGACAGCCTATGTGCCCATTGAGGTCTGTAGGTACTTAGCTATGCTGCCTTTACGTCCTGCTCCACACATTACAGCCAATGAAGTCTAAGCACCATTGATCCAGGAGCAGAATTGATAAGGCCGGAGGGAGCCCCAGTCACGCTACAGTACATTCTGGGCCGTGAGAGATCCTGTCACATGCTCTGACAATCTTGTATATTTTGCACCTCCACTATGGATTTCATGTGGAGCTCCAGATATCTCTACATGGCTCAATAGTTTAAATTAAATGACACAGAGGTAACAGAGGTAGCAGAATCATATACTGTATAGGTAATTTCTCACCTGAAGGGACACATGTTAATGCACTACGTATGGCCCGGAGAGATATGTGTGAAATTGCTTTTGCTAACATGGCAAAGTAAATTGTGAAATGCCTTCTAATATTGCAATGTAGCATGATGAAGGGAAATGTTGGTGTGGCTGTTTTTCAGCTTCAGTGTGGCCTGTCTCTTTTTCTCTGTCTCTCTCTACTGCATGCTATCCTGGATCCACTGACTCTACTCAGCCGCCATACTTGTGACTCAGCTCACAACGCCGTACATCCGCATCGCCCCAGCAGCCGGGGACAGCCAACTAACAGGTCAGACCCGCTGCTTTCCAAAAACATTCTCTGAGCATCTAAATTATTCTGTCCACAACTTGGTTTTACCCACTACGTGTTTAATGAGGCAGCAATCCTGATGATTCCTTCAACAGGAAAACAAACAAGTGGCATATTGCACGCGTGTGATAGTGTTTATTGTCCTGCTATTTGCATAGAATCAGAGTGATTTAAATCAAAGACATTGTCTTCTACCTTCATCTCCTCAGCATTACTGGACATGAAAGACCTGTTTGAGGTGTGATTTTTGTATTTGATGTGTCAGTGTTGGAGCTTTTTGACAGGAGTTAATCCCCTTTCATGAATATTTCTCATTATTTTTGGGAAATTAAGTGCTGGTAGGTGTTGTTTGCTGCAGTCGCGACAACTGTAAACACACAAAAGGACGCTGAAGTGCACGTCGTAAAGATCCGGAGAGTTTTCAAGAGTGTCGCGCCTATTACAATTCTGCTCAGTTTCTACTTGTTGTGTGTAAAACTGAAAGAAAGTAATCTGCCAGGCTAGAATGGAAGAGTATTGACTTGTGGCAGCGAACATACAGCACTCACATCTCTAATGGGGATTTGTCACTGACAGCATTTCTGGAAGATTAGCCTGTAACAGTATATTTAGATAAAATCTTCTCCATCTGTCCAGACATAATTGTTAATATGTCACCTGTCTTGAAAATCCTCCACCTCTCTGCTTTAAAAAGTTGTATCTAAATAAAAGGCCTGGCTGTTGATAAGAGCACACCAGTGTGAGAACAATATGTCACAGCCAGCCCGGGATAGATATTTACCTTTTTGATAGCGAGAGAAAACGGCGACGCTGAGAGTAAACCCGCTCTAACAGATTGGTCTGACATAACAATTCATCATTCTAAATTTACCCCCAGTGACAGGGAATAATGGTGTTGTTCAGGTGGACAGTTGTCATTCCAGGGACGTTGTTTTCCTCCAAGTGCTTCTTATCACTTCGCAGGGAGCATATGGTTCCCAAGCTGATATTTAATGTTTTGGTTATTTCAGGCTTTTTTATCTTCTTGGGTATTATCTCTTGCGCCCTGCATCCTACATTTTGTATAGCCCAGCAACCGTTTGCCCCAAACATGATTAACCAAGGGTAAAGATGATACGCACTTATCTCTCGCAGTGCAGCTTGATCCTCAGAGCGCAGACGTCCACTGAGGACGGAGCAGAAGGTGGAGTCTTCAGGACAATAGGGAGTCACTTACTTTTAGAAGCAAACATTACTCTGAGCCAATAAATGTGTATTGATATTTATGGTCCACAGAATGCCACAGAATATCAGTGTATTGATTAATCCACCTCACTCCTACACACAGTCGAATCAATGAGAGGAAATGCTGAAAGTATGGATATGCACTCTCCCGTTTGGTTGGTGTAGAACAAAAGCAAATAATCATTGGATCTGTTTCATAGTCTGCCCGATTAATTGCACTTTCTCTGTTTGATCAATATGCATTGTGATGTTTTTCAGGAGCAGCCACACACAAACCTGACGCTGTGGAGCCGGAGAAACAAACGGACCACACGGTGAAGATCGCCGGAGTCATCGCCGGCATCCTCCTCTTCGTCATCATCTTCTTAGGAGTGGTACTACTCATGAAGAAAAGGTAAGCCTTTCCTTTTTACTTGTTGAAATACTATTTCACATTTCTGGAAGAGGTTGAACTAACTTGCAGAAAAATAAGTAGTTTCGGTTTCATCATTTTGTATATTTCTCCCTCAAATGGTAGTATTGTCAGTGTCGTGGTAAATAATTAATTTGATTATGTTGATACGCCCCATTAAGGCTGTTTACAGCCATGAGATACAGTGTGCCATGAAAAATTAATCCGTTTCCACGGCACCCTCAAACAAATGTGCAGCGCTTCAATGACATTGGGATGGGAATAGGAAATAATGTTTTGAGGCCTGTGGTTTGGAGGGAGGCGGGGAGGAGATAAGAAAGAAAATATGATGAAAAGGCTCAAAAGAAAGGGGATGGCCACATAGCTGAAGGCTAAGTTTACATTAGCCTGGACCCCAGACTGGAGAGAGGTCCTCAGTACATATCCCAGCTATCAGGGGAGCTCAAGCTCAGCAAATATCAACCCCCTTTGTCCACAGCAAAGCTTGAAATAACACTGTCAGGTTCTGCATAGATTTCTCTAGTAAGGCGAGGAACAAAGAAAAACATTCCAGTAAAACTTAGTTTGCATTAACTTTAATTTACTGTACTTTCCATTGAGTTGGCGTGTGTTGAATTAAATAGTAACCAGCAGTGAAGTAGAGTGGGGAGGCATAGATGTGTACTAATACAATCACCATGTACCATGTTTATTTTTGACAGTAATATAATATTCTTCATCTTCTGTGTATAGCACAGCGATCAGTGGGTGGGTGTGAAAAGCAGCACTCAGTAATGGAATTGTTTTCAATTAGCCTTAATCAAACCAGAGATGGAGATGACTTCATTGGTTGAATTTCGTGTAATTTACTGTTGCCAACAGGGAATCGGAGTTGTGTTTAGACATTCAATGCACTCATTAAGTTTCAACCTGGGAGGTCAGATATGGTAATTCTTTATAGATGTATAAAATGATGTGTTCATAAAAGAGGTTTACTGACAGCGTGGCTGCTCTTGATTTCCCATCACATATCAATATCAATATAATTAGAGAGCTCTGACCGTATTGTACTGAGCCCCCCCCCCCCCCCCACCCAACAAAGCATGACATGACTCCAAACGATCACCTTTGCCCTCATGTTCACTAGTTTACCTCCACGTATGCCACCATATCTGATTTTGTTCATTTCTACTCTTTTTTCAAACATTAATATATTTTTACTTTTTCTTTCCTTTTCATTCCATCCCCTCCCCTCCTCCACTGCTTAAATCCTACCACCACCCCACTCGGCAGAAGAACCTATCACTCCTACACTTACTACCTGTAAGTAACCACTTTGTGTAATGTTAGTGCCATGCTTCTCACCCTCACGCTGTTTCCCATGCATGCAAAGAGCCATGTCATCCTCCTCCTGCTCAGAGCCATTACAGAGACCTCACTGTAATCTCTGCTGGAGGAACGGAGGACGCCACCTCCATGATGAGCGTATCACATCATACTGTATGTCACATTGGCACGACTTCTGACGAAAGCACGCAGACGCAGTTACACCCCCACAGCATTAACCTGCCACTGAAAATACTGCAAACATAATTTCTGTTCGACTATAAGGAGTTTGTTCATCAAAAACGATGAACTACACTGCCTTAATGATTGTGTGGCTGCCCAACTCATGTCTTCAAAGGGAGAAAAAAATCAATGCAGGAGCTACTGCATTTTTACTGAGTGTGAATTTTTCATTGGCCTCCGATGATTTCATCTCTGTTGACTTGTCAAAGTAAGAGTTTTTGAAGTGCCTATCACAGTGAATCTATGGTTTAGTTTTTCCCAGTGCCTCAATAAGCTTGTCCAAATTCTCACTCTTTGCACACTTGTGTATACACTCAGAAATGCAGTAAATAAGTCTAGGATTGGCCATGTTTATAGTTGTTTTTTACAGCGAAAATGTAAGCATGAGCTAACGTGTTGATCCTACCAATGTGGCTCCATATGCATGTGATAATGTGAAGTCGTTCCCTTCCCCTACTCCATCTTTCATCATGAAAACATCTCATGCTTTTTAGTTTTATTTTCTTGAGCATGTTTTTGGGTTATTGCACGTCCATCCCATCAATTCTATGGTGATGGTGGAGTTGTGTCTTTAGCTGAAAATACATTTGCATCACTACTGAAGGAGCTCATGTGATCACAGGATAACCTCCTTTCTATATAGACGTCTCCAACATCATAAAACAATAGCTGTAGCGCTCCTATACTCGCTCTTAATAGGACACATGGTTCCAAATCACTCCTCTGAATGGTAAAGAAGCTTATTCTGCGGCTCTGGCTTCACTGCTTTAGCTCACAGGCTCCCCTCGTACGCTCTTTGTGATGGATGCCGACTAATCTGTCTTGAGATGGCTGTGATCAGAGGAGTGAATGGAGGCTGCCTCACATCAAAGAACATCTCAGAATACACCTGGAGATAATACTACTCTGAATACTCCGCGTGTCACTCATCTTAGATCACAGCTGCATTGGATGGAAAGCCCCGGTGACTTTGGAGAAGTGGTGTCATCAAAGCTAAGCGCGCACATTGACCGAGTTAAGCAGGCAGAGATGAGGTTATCAGTGAAACAATCAAAATATCAGTTTTTGGGGATTTATTTTTTTACCCGCAAATAGGTACAAATATTTGCATAAAGAGGAGATGATAGTTTCTACAATAACAAGTCAATGCATTATTTTTCACAAGAAGATACTGAGATAAAGCTTGTTTTCAAACATGTGTTTTAGTAATTATTTGGGAAATTATTCCTCCATTTGAAGGACATACTGTAATGCCTTAGACGGATTTGTCTGGAGGCGCGTTTGCTTTGATTGACAGGTCTTAGGTTAGCCAAATTGGATATTTGGCTGCTAACACGTTACAGGATGCATTTGAACGCTTAAGCCAAAATGGGTCCCTTCAAAAATGAATGTATGTGACATGAACAGCACAACGTCGACGTTTCCCTGCATTCTCCCGTCAAAATGAATTCGAGGGGTTGCGAATGTTGTGACTCCGCTCCAAAAGCTGACAGGATATCAACATAATATACAGTAATATAAGCTGAAGGAGTAATGATTTCCATTTGAAAATGTGCCATGACTGCAGCAAATAATAATGGATAATTAAAAACACGGCTTTGAGAAATTGGAAATAAATGAATTACCTAAGACTTCTGGATCTCTGTAACCAGCAATGTTTCCTTCGGCACAACTCCTGTGATGTAAAATCAAAACATATTTACATGCGAGATGCCTATTTGAACAATTAATTGATGAGTGGCTCGAAGGTGTTGTATAGCAGTTGATAGCAAATTCAATGACGTCTTGATCAACTGTTTTCCCCTAGTCCTCTAATGGTGCTGTTAATTGTAAATGTATGGATATTTTGCGCACTGCAAGCAAATGGTTTCAGGAGAAATTATAATTACTGTATATGTCATGTGTTATTTTCACCTCTGTAAATTAAGAGTGTAATACTGTACAACACTTTTCAGCTAAATACATCTGGATGTTCATCAATAGGCCTGCATCACCAATTATTTCGGTAATTAACACTAAATATTGATGTGCATCGTGAGAAATTGACGTTGAAAATGATGCTGGAGTGAGCAAGGATGTCCATTTCAATACAACAACCCCCCATCCTCACATGTTTTCTTTATATCTGTCTATGTACAGTAGCATTCATTTGAAGGCACAAGAGCATGTTAGCTAATTGGAAGGAAGATTTGCACCTTGAGGTGTTAAGGCCGAACACCAAAGTGTTGCTTAAAGTTAAGTCATTATAATCATATTGTTACTTCTTTCGGGGCACTAGAAGACTTATTATGAACACATATAACTTCCTAAACCCAAAGTTTATATTACCAAATTAAGGTTTTCTTAAGATTGCTCTCCTCAGAAGTGTTCATCTGCAGTTCTGCTGACAGCCTTCATGAGATGACAACACCTCTATGATTGATGAACCCCATTAATGCTCTTATGCATTCATCAAAGTCTTTTAAAGGCATGAGAACATCCTGCAGTCGCCAAAATATGCACTTTGGGTACATTGCCAGAGGTGGCTGCGGGGGCTGGCTCGCAACACAACATCAGTCAGAGCGCTCATTAGCGATGCAGTTACATGTGTGATCAAATATATGATCGTTCTTTAATCAGGTGTCCGTATACCGGCCGCCCGTCTCCTGCTGCTGGGGACAGGAGGGGGATCAATAGCACGGGGCAAGGGTTGCGATTGGGTTTTTATTCCCGAGAGAGTTCGATTCATCCATCAAGCAGGCATGTTAAATACGAGCACACTTACTGCATCACTGATTGGTCAGGCTTGTCTCGTGCTCCTTGAACCTCAGGTATGTGATCTGACTGTGTAGATAGATGTCTTCTATTAACCAAGATTTTATTCATCTTTTCAAATCGGATTTAAAGTTATCCCTCTCTTAAAAGTCACATTTGGGCAGTGCTGGCCAAAATAGAAGTTTGAGGATTGGCATGTCATCACCAAGTTGATTGAATAATGTGGCTTACTCACAGATCTGGCAGTTATGGAACAACATTATTATTCTATTGTTGTGTTGTTGGCCACCTGGCAAATGTAAGTCCAATATCCCATCTCTTGTTGCTCTGTTTTTGGTCCCTTCCGCTTTCTGAGTGAAATGACTGGATCTATATTTGCTAAATGCTTTACTTGGTGAGCAGCTAGTTGCTAATTGTGTTTATCTGCTGTTTGGTGCAGAGAAGGTGTACTGTGGATTTATATAGCTTTAACAGCTGCCTGTTGAGGCTGGAAACGACGAACCAGAAACCATGAAGTTGGGCGCTGGACAGCTAAACAATGAGCTACAACTCTATTTAAAGCTCTTTAAAAATGGGAAGACCTATGTTAGACTTAGACTGATTTATTGAGTTGTATTTACTTCAGAATGTTGTTGCTCTGTGTCTAATTGGTACATTATTTACTCCGTTGATTTTCAAATGATTAAGTGAAAGGCCCTTACAGTAGGTACACACCAGTTACAGGGTGCTTTGTATCAGTCAATATGTACCATGCCTGACAGCAAAGAAAGTATGATTATATTGATAGATATATGATATATTATACAAATTTGAAGCCATGTTTCCACAACATATCTACTCATGAATTTAGTCTATAAATATTGGTGTTATGTTTTGAGGTTTCTGCCTGCTGTTTTATTGAATCAGCTCAGAGGAAGTGATTTTGTTCAGGAGAGACCAGTCCATATCCATCTGGCAGGTGGACATTCATATCCTAAATCCCTGATGGTGTGATGAGTGCATACATTTCATTGAGTGGGTCTGATGGTAAACAAACCTGTATGCCACTAGCTGCTGTTATTACACTGAACTCATGCAGTGATATATCGAGAATAGAAAAAATGGCTTAAATTGCTTCCTTTTTTACCGGAAACACACAGACGTATAAATCATCATTCATGGGAGGCCTACTAAACGCACCATGTATAACACAATGTGCTCAGGGCAAACACCTTCATTATACCTACAAGCCGAACATGCAGCAAGAATCACATTAATTGGTACAAGCTTTGCAGATTTTTGCACCTACGAGCTCTGAATGTTGATGAGGAGGGGAAGAGAGGAAGAGCAGCTCGAGCAGGGCGAAGGGATCTCATGCTTGGAGTGATAGAGTTTCAGTGCATACGTTTTAAAATGAATTGTCATTTACAAAGTGTCTATCTGTTACACTTTGGCACTGTTCAGGGCTGCTTTCTCTTGCTACTTACTTAACTCTTTATATGTAATGGGATTCAGAGACAGGCAATTGTAATAGTATTAAAAAAACAGTGGACATTATTAGCAAATGATACATATTTTACAATATATATAATATATATTGTAAAATATGTATAATATATATTTTTTTATTAAAAGAAAACATATTAAATACAGTTCATTTTATTTCTTGATTTAAATCAAAAGGAAGTATATTTAATTATCATTCAATAATATGAATATAATTTAAATATAGGAACAAGGAAACCTGAGACTAAAAACGTTTTCTTGTAAGTTTGTCTTGAACTGCCGAAATAGGAAAATACATTTAAAAGAAAAGTACTTTAACAGATACGAAATGTAAAAAATCAATGTCTTTCTAAAGGTAACTCTAAAATGTTATTTACAATATCTGAACATAAGGCTTTTGCTTTAACCAAAAACAGCATTTTTCAGGGTTCAAGGTTCTTTATTTAGTCATGCGAACATAGCTACAGTGTAGTTATGCCGATGAAAGTCTTGTGTCACACAAAACACAGATAAACAGAAAAAATATAGCGCAAGTAAATAGTAATACAAAAAGAAAAATAGTTTGAAATAGTGAAATAAGAGTCTATATGCAAGTTATTGAAATAGGATATATAGGTAAATCATTTTTTTATATGTTTTAAGTAGCAGCCAGATGAATATTAGGGATGTTGTTTCAACAGTTCAGGTGTTTAACAGTCGTATTGCCTGTGGGATGAAACTCCCCGAGTTGAGAATGTTATTGTGTTAATGTTATTTCTAATCTCTCTCTGTGGTGTTTTTTAGCACAACTAATTCCTATCTTCAAAAAGTGAATTAAACATGAGTTATGAAGAACAAACTTCACTTCAGTGTTTGTGTGAAAAAATACAAATTTGTACAGAATCGATGAAAGCAATCATTTGGCAGATAAACGATTTTCCTGTCACTGAATAGTCTGCATTCAGACATAGTTTCTATCATTGTTGCTGATGTTTCTCCTGCTAAAGTAAATGAATAGGACTGAGATAGAAATATGATTGATGGACAGGAAAGAATGTGTGAAAGATGGAGACATGTTTGAATTGAGACACAGTGCAAACAACCACTGAAGTGCCCCCACTGCGCGAATCAAAGACGCTTCTGTTGCCCCTCCCAGCTGCGTGTCACTCATCTAACACACACACAAATGCTGTGGGTGTGTGTGGATCCTCTAATGAAGCCTTCTTTGTCCCGGTGTCACAAGGTTTAGGCTGTGCCAGTGCAGAAATGAGGCCCACCATGCTGAGCCTAAGGTTTTGAAGCTTTTAGAAGTTGCAGCGGCATCACCTCCCGCAGAACTGAGATTCTGGCAAACAGGCGCAGACACACAACTCACGCGGCTTCCTTTTTGTTGTAGCTGCACTCGCAGAGTTAGGAGCTCTGCTCACTTAGATCCTAGATCTGCCACGACTGTCATGTACGGCCTGCAGACAATCCCTCTAATGAGAGTTGCCTAATATAGTTACCTGCAGTGTTAGCTCGGTCTTTACTTCTACAAACACCTCTGCCATCTGTCTGCCTCTTCCTTCATATGCACATTCACTGCTGCTCACAGACATTTGTGATTTTATTGTCAGGCATGCCTGCAAGCAATCAGTCCTGTACATTTCTTGTTGGAATCTTTCAATGTGCAGCTTTTACTCCAACTATCCGGGGATATGATAAATGGTCACATTCATCAAGATGCACAAACACTCAACTCCACACTTCCTCGTACTATCTCTGTCAGCACATCAGAGCCAGTAATATAGTCATCTATCATTACATTTTCCCCTCTTACAAATGAGGAGAGAATAGCATGCCAATTAATCTTCATCTAACACCCACGGTGCCTTGCAAACATCCCACTATTGCTGGTGCTTTCCTCATTTTGGCACTGGTGTCTGTGCAGCCTCGATTATCTCCAACGCTCATTCTTCAGCAGCTACACAGGCCAGGAAAGAGAATCCAAATCCTAACAGACGCGGAAACAGGAACAGTGATACAGTTTTAAAACATGGATTATAGTTGTTCCTAATAGTCTTCTCCATGAGTGCACACAGTGCTGAATCAGTCTTAAGATTGCCTCGGGTACATACAGCCCCCCCCTCCCCTCCCCTCCTCAGTCCTCCCTTTGACAATATGAAGCTATATCGTAAAAAAAGAGACAAGATTGCCATTTTGTTTCCGACTCTAATTGAAGATTAAAGACAAAAAGTGAGTCCGGCAGATGAAAATGTCACTACTTTGTCACTTTGCGTTCTGAAGAACGGATCCACTATTAGCCTCACGTCGCGGCCTTCAGAGCAAATGACTGTTTGAAGGCAGCGGGGGCCTGTTGCCATATGGCACCAGACAGCGACAAAATTGAATAAACAGAGGAGATTTGCGAAAACAAAGCAGCAGGAGTGCATCATTAGATCGCAGTTGTCCGTGAGAGAGACTGCAATTCAAATAGGCAGAGGGGTCACACAGAGAGTAACAAAGTGCGGGGATCAGTGTGAGGGCTGCCATAGTTAATTCTCACTCCGCTCACTCCCCTCCAGCTACAGAGCAGCCGCAGACATCAGACACCGCTACAGCTTACAGTGTTGCTGCTCAAGCTGTTTGCCATTTTTCTGATGTCTCTGGAAATACACTGTAGTAGGTTAACTCCTCAGAGTGATAATGAGAAGCATTACTTATCATCCTGGGGACATTTTATTATGCAAGTGGTGTTTTCTGGAAGGTTAAAGGTCGGCTTCAGAACAGCACCCCTTCAGGGATTCAGTCTTAGTACAGTTCAGGGTCAAAGGTTGAGAAACCCAGCAAACTTGTTTAGACTCAAAAGTCCAACTTTTAAAATATTTGAGGTTTCTCATTTTGCAGCGTAGTTATTCAATGTATGCAGTCATTTTTTCAGTTTGCCTTGCTTTATTATTTTATATAAATAGTGGTTCATTATTATAACAAGAATCAGAATGATATTTTTTGTAATATCTCTTGCTGTGTAGTTGCGTTAAAATGAAATAATACAAGCAGTAATAAACTAAGTCTAGACTGTCAAGGTAATGTTGCATCTACTGTTGAGCAGACTTTAATCAAATGTATTACAGTCTTACATTTCAACAAAAAAGCATAATAATGTATGTCAGTATTTAATATATTCCATGTACTAGTGTTTCAGGGACAACGTTGAGTTAGTACAGTTATTCATTTGAAGTGTAATAGTTTTGTAATCAACTTAATAGTTAATAGGCTTTTGCAACACTTTGTGGTGATCTTCAACTATTGCGATATACATTTAGTCCACTCCGTTTATAACAGTAAGAATAGACATACTGTAACATTAGATAATAGAAAACGTATGAGAGAAATCATACAAGTTATAAATAATAAATATCCTGTGTACATGTTTTCATGCAATTGCTAAAACAGAGCATCATACTCTTATCCGTCTAATATCTATGTGAAGGCAGCTCCAGCAACAACAGAAGCTCATGACCCTTGCATGTGTGTTGTGACCAGGGACAAACAGCGAGCCCTGGTCACAAGACCTTAAAGTCTCGCTGGTGTACAAAGGGGTGAAAAGTTCATGAATGAATGCCTGAGTGTGGACAGCTTTATCGGGGAAAGGTCAAAATCTTGTCTGATCTAGTTATTCACAGTCAGTAAAGTGTAGCCAGGACAGGTGAGGTGAGCTCGGCATCTGCTTTTACAAACTTAGAATCCATCTGCAGTCTTTTTATGCATACAGTACACGTTGATCTGTGCTTGTGTGTGCTTCCCTGTGCGTTCACTCCCTACACAATGCTCTAATGGTGTTTGATCTGGAGCAGATTGCTTGTAGGCTCCAGCACATCAGCTCAAAGTAGGTCAATAAAAGCAGGTTGACTGTTTCAGTTCACCGTTCAGCAGCCTGTATTCTCCCGCCTCCAAAATCCTATAGCTAATTTTAAATCATCAGGGCCCCTGATGTATTTGGGTTAGGGTGTCACACCTTTCCACACTTTCAAGGATTTATGTGGCACTGCTTGAAAAAGCCTAATAATAAAACCTAATGTGACCGCAACCCAGGAAACATTAGCCATCTCATTACATCTGAGTCATTTCCCCCCCCCTGCGTCATATCAGATCAATTCAGGAGCAGTCATTGTTGCTTTGGTCTGATTGATGTTTTTTTATTTCTTCTAAAGGAAATTGGCCAAGAAGCGTAAGGAGACTTTGAACAGCACCCGCCAGGAGATGACAGTGATGGTCAACTCCATGGACAAGAGCTACACGGAGCAGGGCACCAACTGTGACGAGGCCCTGTCCTTCATGGACACACACAACCACACGCTGAACACACGCAGCGAGTGTGCGCTCACACTCAACGGCCGCAGCGAGTGTGCGCTCACACTGAATGGACGAAGTGAATGTGCGCTAACACTGAATGGACGAAGTGAATGCGCGCTAACGCTCAACGGGCGCAGCGAGTGTGCGCTCACTCTCAACGGGCGAGGTAAGATGGCCCTGCATCGGCCTACCTGGCTTTCACAGTCACGCACACACGCACACACACACACACACACACACTCTACACACACAGCATGGTGGAAGCAATTTATTTGGTTTGGTCAGGTGAGAAGGAAATCAGAGTTGGCTGCACACCAAATATTCCCACTGGAATAAAACTTTACATTTGAGTCTTGGTCCTCTTCCAAGTGAACTGTGGAGTTTCTGGGGGAACATATTCAGGAAAAAAAACAAGTTGATAATAAATCCTCATCATTGACTCCCCCACAAAAACCATCCAAATCTGCAAAACAATAGGTATCAAAACTCATCGTGAGACCATGTGACTGTTTCCTATTATCATGATTTGAGTGTTTATCTATTCGCCCTTTTTGGTCATTTACCACATCCAGTTTCATAAATGAGTGAGAATGGGTTTTTAATGAAGAGCCGTCTAAATGTCTCTTTGTTTTTCTGTGTTTGGCTTGTTCTAACCTAGAATCTATTCAGCCAGTGCAAACTATTTTAAACTGAATTTGTAGCTTTGGAAAATCTACCAGTGCTAGTGTTAGCCAATAGGGAATGGGCTTCTTCATATTAGTTTAACAGATTTAACTTGTTTCTTAAGCAAGAGATTCATCGCTTTTCTCAAAATCTCAAGGGTTTTTCGTCCCCTTTTTCTTTTTTTTTCATTTCCTATAATTATCTATATTTTTACTGAAAGTAACTTAAAGGTGGGGTAGGTACGTTTGAGAAACCGGCTCGAGATACACTTTTTGTTATATTCCATGGAATGCTCTTAACATCCCGATAGCAATGAATATCTTAAGTGCTTTGACAAAAAATCCATAAAAAAAGGTCATCTGTGGAAGCTGTAATACTGTAAAAAGCACGACCAATCATTTTAGCTGGCCCGGCTAAAATAACTGGATGGCCTACCTGCCTGTCAGCCTTCCATCTGTGCACAAACTTATCTCGTGCCCTCATTGGTCATGTGCGCGTTTGTGTGTGTTGGAGGAGGGGCTCTGTAAGGAAGTGGCAGATTTTTTTCCGGCTGTGTATTTTCAAATTCCAGCGCACTCGAGCTGGTTTCTCCAAAATGACCTACCCCACCTTTAAACTCAGATATATTGTAATAGTCAGTAAGCTATTTCTTTTTTCAAAGCATTATGCACATAAAGTACCCAGCCCACCTGGGCTGACAAAACACTACAAACATAACAAACAGAGCAATAACATAGTTTGATAGAACAGATGAAATACACCTTTTATGCATGCAACAACAAAGCACTTATGAACACAATCCATCTCCTTAGACATTACAGCTATTAATCACACATCTGAGACACAGACTGTGCCTTTAACACATCAAACATAAAGTGTCTCCCACTATTTTAGCAAGCATTTTACACTTTGTCTGTAAACCGGTACCTACATTGATCAGGCATAGAAAACAAATCAATCAGGACATTCTGCAGACATTTCAATGTAACGCCTATATCTAATAGTGTGATATAAAGGACAATAGAACAAAAAGTGCATCTCGTTTCCGACCCCTCTTAGATCACACAGGTGACACTTTCTATTTTCCTCTGAAATTGAGTGGAAATGTCCGGTTTTCACCGCCAGAGGCAAGAAACCTCCCCACTGAGCTCAGACAGCCCTCTGCTCTCTGCTCAGGTCACAGGTGACACCGTGCTCTGGATGGTAAATTACTTTCTCAATGTTGGTTTACAGTGTACTTCAAACTTCTTGTGTCCATTTCTGTTTATCATTTTCAAATGTTATTCTTTTAAGCCTAATTATACTAAAACATAATTCATTTCTTTATCTATTTACATGAATTGGATAAGTTATGCGGCCCAAAAATAATTATTTGATAGAGTTTTTAGAAAATGAGCGTGTTATTAGGCATGTTGATTAATCAATACCACAGTTTCAACGTAAAAATAATATTCATGATGATAATAATATTAGTTTACTATGAGGTGTTGCTTAACGGCACTGCACTATGACTCAACTGGTATAGCTGCATTCAAATTGCAAACACTTATTAGCAATCTCTAAGGAGTCTTCAAAAACCAATATAATCCAGGCTACTTCAAATCCCCAACCAGACCTTAAATTGAACAGTAAACACAAACTCCAAGTTCCTGAACTCAGCACCTTCTGTTTCCAATTCAAGGAGAAAACGCACAACACATGCTCTTGTGTGATAACCTATTAATTTCCTCCGTCCCAGGTTAAACGTAATGCTTTGTTGATGGACAGCTCAGCTAAATCTGCACCCAGGGCTTGACCTGGTATAATCCCAGTCAAAACCATCAGATTAAAACTCCACAGCAGCTTCTGTCTACACACCCCTGCAGGGGGATGAGCCCCAAAGATGCTCTGACCTTGATTAACTGTCTGTAAGTGTGGATGTTCAAATCTGGCCCTCTGTCTGCCACTGCAAATGATTTAAATGCATTACTTTTGTACCCAGAGTGATGCCTTTAATGCCGTTCCTAAGCCCCCTGATGTCTCCATGACCTTATATGCCTGTCAATCGTGTCATTTGGGCTCAAAACACCATGGCAGACGGATTATAGTCCTGAACATACTGCACTCATGACCTTAACTCTATTAGCATGGAAGTTGGATCTGATGACACATGAGCAGTGACAAGCTTTGACTGTTGTGCTTTTGAATTGTGCTCTACTTTAGTATGTCAATCTTAGTATTTATTTACTTATTTAGTTTTCATATACTTCAACTATACCTGAGCATTTTCCATTCTACTGTATGCTACATTATATTTATTCAACTGCATTTCATTCATGCTCCATTGTATTCATTTTTACTTAACTTATGTACATTACTTTTCGCATGTTAAATTTGAACCTACAAATAATATGATTGTCCTGTAACATGTGGTTAATGGACTGTATTTATACTGCGTTTTATCCAAACATTACAACTCCTCAAAGCTCTTTACAAGTCATCATTCACCCATTCACACCCCATTCATACAGAGCAATGTGTGCAAGAAAGCTAACATTCACACACATTCACACACTGTTGGCCATGCCATCTGGAGGAACTCAGGGATACATTGACAAGTTATTTATTTATTTATTTGACCTTTATTTACCCAGGAAAGTCTCATTGAGATAAAAAATCTCTTTTGCAAAAAAAGCAATATCATATTAGGAGCATCATCATAAAAATCCTCTACAGACGGTTATCTACTTCTCGGTCACTAAGAAGCCCTGTCGGACCTGATCTTGTTGACTGCAGGACCGGGATCGAACAAACAACTCTCCAATTGAGAGAAGGCCACACTACCTCACAGTCAAATATGTGTGTTCATGCAACACAATAGCGTTGTCAAAAATATCAAAATTGAATATGTGTTATATCTTTTGAATAAGTGGTTGAAATTCCAACACCCATGAATTTCCATTACCATTGCAATATTTGTTTATTCTGACAAGGTCTCAAGATTTCTACTGTCGCCACCAAGGTCAATGGAGTTGTGTTCAAGCGCTTTGAGCACCAGGAAAAGCGCTATATAGATAACATGTATTATTTAAAAAAATAACATTAACCATAGAGTAAGTGATAAAAACATGTTGTAACTAGAAGGAGAAGAAGAAGAAAAACCTCCCTATTTTACAATAATAATAATTTGGGATTCAGATACTCCAGAATATAACAGATTCTTATTTAGCCCGTGCCACCCCCTTCCACCAAGTTTTAAACAAACAAACATGACCTCCTTGGGCAAAGGTAATGATAATATAATTGACATTCTTGTTCATCGTGGTATTGCTTTCTTTCCTTAAAGTGGACCTATCATGCTATATTATAATAATATAGTGTAGGGCCATACCTATATAAGGCATATTTATACTTTTTTTTTTTTCAAAATACCAAACAGATCATGCATTTTAGCCATGCCTCATTTCGCTCAATTTGCACTTTTTTAGTTCTGTTTTTGCAAGGGCTGATTCAGTGAGAACAGCACCACCTACAGGCCTGGCATATGTACTACAGCGTCTCCAGCGCTTTCGAACGGCAATGGCCGTGGCTGTCTCCTCCTGATTGGTGGAGTTGGCCCAATAGCCGTAGCGCCACCGTCCTGACGTCAGGACAGTGTTCAAATCTGGATCAGTTTTTATCAGATCCGTTGCAGCCCCTTTTTTAGAGATTTGGGTATGGAGGAAAATAGAGAGGGTTGTGTTTTCTGACACTTGGTGAGTTCCCTGGAACACCGGGGACACATATTCATGTATAAAAGACGTACAAAAGTGCATTTTGCATGATAGGTCCCCTTTAAGGTATACGTTTTGAATACTACCTCCACCACTAAGCGATACCAGACTATTGATTCTCTTGTGTTGTTTTCTTTTCTCCATTTCTAGTCGGATCACCCCCCTCCTCCTTCACTCTGCCTAAAGCCAACACTCTCAGTACTTCAATCCCCCCCAACTCCTACTACCCAGGTAAACACGCAGTATTTCCTCTGATAATCCTGTATGTCAACAGAGAAGTGTTCACTATAGAAGCAGAAGGTGTTCAATTCAGTCATCATGAAACCTAGGCTCTCAGGATAAATGAGTAAGAGACAATATTGCCAAATAAGTGTTAATTAGTTTTATGTTCCCGGTAAGAGCCTTTTTTATGTAAATTGCATACTAATAAAGTAATGTGTGGTGTGAATGAATTTAGGTGTTTTAATAAATTAGGAAACAATTTCACAAATGAGAAGGTAGATAAATTGACTTTGGATGGGTTTTACACTCTGCTACATCTCCAGTTATAACCAAAAGTGTTTTTAGTTCATTTTGCTCAGAAGGAATTTAGCTGTTCAATCATGAATTTAATTTCTCCAGAAAAAAGCCAATCATAATTGTGTGTCTTGTGTAATCAGATCACAGCTCATTGATCAGATGGAGCAGAGGGCAGCTAGATTTATAATCAACTAAACTTGGTGTTTAGCTCTTATGGAAAATATGATAAGTTTCTTGTTATGGCTGCTTGGCAGGAAACCAACAAACTGTCTTGTTTTTGTTGTTTTTCTTGGCTTTTATTCACTGCAACTCTCTTTCCTCCTCCAACTTCTGCACTTGTTATGGGGGTATGAGCAGATCCCTTTGTGCCAACTGCTATCTTAGGTGAGACCCATTTCCTTTTCCCATTGCTGTTGATTATTTATTCTTATTTCTACCTTGAAGAAAATAACAATGCATTACATTTATAAGATCGCTGTTTTGAAGACTTACCTACAGATTATTGTTTTTCCCACTTATGGTTTTGGTTGGCTCTTTTTTTACTAGAGATGGCTTCCTCACCTTCATACCTGCCTGCTGCTTCTCCCCCTCCTCCCCCCCATCCCCACATCCTCCCTCCTCCATCCTCCCTCCCCTCCCTCCCTCCCTCTCCCCCCCCTCCCCGTCAAAGAGGGGCTCTCCTGGGCTGAGGCTGGCTTCACTCCATCCCATCCGCATTGCGTGTCGTGCGTGTGATGTCACATACGTGTTTGACCTCTCATATGCATGGACAGACATGTGGACTGGATGTGGGGGAGTGTTTATGGGGGGGGGGGGGCAACGGGGGGTGTGGGGGGGGGGGGGGTTGGCTTGAAGGGGTGGGGGATAGTTTGCCCCAGTGCCAAGGCTACAGTGTGCTGAAGCCCTAGCAGCTGCACTGAGACACAAACAGAAAGTAAACAGTGAAGGGGACACAGAAAAACACTCTCTCTTGGCCCCCCTCACACACAAAAAACCAGGATGCGTTCAGTCTGAACATATAAAGTCTTGCATTAGCTGTGCTGCCCTCCCCCCCCCCCCTCCCCTCTCTCCCTCACTACGCATTGAACTCCCCTCCCTCCCTCCAAAACAACAACCTTTTCTATTATTCTTTTTAATGTCGCTCCCCCTGCCTTTGGCTAACTGCTAGTGACCTACTTGTTTTCGTTTTTTGCCACGTCTTGTTCCGTGATAAAATAGAATTACAAAAAAGCATTTTGTTCTTCTGTTAATTATTACCGGCCTTTGTTGAATACGCACAGCAGCCCAAAGTGCAGTGTCTTAAACGAGCAGATGCTTTTTATAACAGCGGAGCACAAAATGTAGCTACTAAGTGGGGCACTAGAACTGTAATAATGAAATACTCAAGGCCAAGCAGATGCAATAGGCAACTCCAGCTTCAACACAAGCACCATAACTGCACTTACAAGTACACAACTTAGTTAAGGCGTATTTTTCCTCTTTCTCCAAACAAGTGCAACTCAAAGCAGGGCATTTCATCATCGCTGATGTGACAGCTGCTTACGTTAGTTCCACATTTAATGAAGCATGAAACAATTAACATGAAATTACCGCAGCCAGAAAAGGTTACATGCTTTCAATTGTGACAGTCAGTCACATCATTGTCTCATCAGTTGAGGTTAATGATCAAAACTGATTAGAACATTGGTAATGTTTTTGATTTTATTGCACACAGAAAAAGGCATAAATACAGGTGTCACCAGTACCACATGCAAATATAATTATAGCAATTGGAGAAAGACATTCAAATGTCAGGATACTCAAAAATCTATTGGCGTCATTCAAATATGCAAGTCACAGCTTTAAAACGATAACAGCTTGTTCCAAAGATGACCCGTATATCACCATTATTTTCTCCCCTGAAATCCATGACTTCCTTGTTTTGTTCTTTTACTTTTGTCTTGCACTGTTGAAATTGCCCCATCCATCCCAACATCCCCCCCCCTTTGACTTAGGCTTTCTACCACTTTGGACTGAGCAGGCATGTGATCTTGCCCTGTAGCGTAGCTCTAAAACTACTGTAACAGGTTCTCATGCTGTATTGTTGCTTATCCCCTCTCTCCTCTCTCTTCTCCTCTCTTTTTCTTTACATACGTAACCTCTTATGTATCTGCTATCTAAAAAGTGCCCATTAATGGTAAGTTTTCCCAAGTGGGCCCTGGGTTGGGGGAAGGAGGTGGTGTTTTTACTCGTAAAGCAAGCCAAAAGTGAGAGGCTGCTTCTGACATGGACATTTTGACATTTATTGCATGACCAGTGGACATGTTAGCATCTCACCACCCTCCGTACCGTGCCACCAAGCCACCATTAGCCTAGCATGGTCAAAGTGCGTACAGTGCGCCATGGCAGCATCACCCCATGCATTCTCCTCCCATCTCCGCTTCCCTCCTGTTTTAAGTTATTCTTTTGGTTTGATTTGATTTTTCATTTATCGGGGAACAAACGGGTGGCAGGGGGTTTGAATCGGCGCTGTGATTGTGTGATGCTTCTGACGGTGCCTGCTGCGACATGCTCACTGTGGCCCACCGCACCCCCACCTCACATCCTCCTCCTCCTCCTCCTCCTCCTCCATGTTTCTGGACACCCTCCATCGTCCGCTGGCTCCCCACAGCATCTGTGCCTCATGTCTGCCACTCACTGGATTACAGTATGAAAGAGCTGGAACGACTCAATAAGAGCTGCTGCCCAAACCAGCATACTGTAGTGCCAGTAAAAAAAAAAAAGAATAAAAAAAAAGGGAGTAAACTTGTTGTTTTACAGCATCTTCATGTGGATTTTACAATGGCTCTTTACTGTTTCCAGCAGTCGAGGGCCGCTGACTCCTATTCTGACAGTAGCCGTATTAGATGCTAATAGTGTAAGTGCTTTACTTAAACGGCCTCGTATGTTCCCGGCTATGAGCTGTCATACAGTACACTAGGCCTGTAGTATTGAATATTTTCCAGCCACACAGATGGACAGATGGACCTGAACCTTCCCACCACATGATTCATCCTATTACTCAATGATGTTGTGTTGTTGTGACCATCCATAACAAACAGATTACTAGTTAAAAGTTGTTTGTCAATCTGGAGGGTGGTGACATAATGCTTAGCAGTAAATGAGATAATGTGCCATCTGTTAATGGGAACAGTTGTAACTGAGATATGATTTGGTTGAAGATGGACAACAAAAACTCTTTTATATGTCAATGAACTCGTAAAATACAGCTGAAATATACTGCGTTAAGCATTATGTCATCCACGTGTATCTGATAACAATATACTGATCAATCATCCAGCTCCCACCTCTCCCTGCTGACCTGCTCCGGCCTGTCCCTGTGTTTGTGTCCCGCAGACGAGAGCCAGAACATGGGCAGCGACACCAGCAGTTTGGTGCAGTCTCACACTCACTCTCTGAGGAAGCGTGAGCCGGTGGATATACCGTACCAGACGGGTAAGCTGCACCCGGCCATCCGCGTGGCCGACCTCCTGCAGCACATCACCCAGATGAAATGCTCCGAGGGCTACGGCTTCAAGGAGGAGTACGAGGTAGGACGCAACCCAGCTGTCACCCCCCACTATTAAGGTTGCAAACACAAATAAAGCCCCGTGATAGACTTGTATGATCTCTACGGAAATCCTTGAGTGGAAATGTTTTTAAGTCTTATACAGAGGTAGGAAGTAAGTACATTACTACTCCACTACATTTAAAAGGGAATATATTTAATTATACACCACTACATTCATTTAACAGCTTAAAGGTAGGGTAGGTAAGTTTGAGAAACCGGCTCGAGATACACTTTTTGTTATATTCCATGGAATGCTCTTAACATCCCGATAGCAATGAATATCTTAAGTGCTTTGACAAAAAATCCATTAAAAAATGTCATCTGTGGAAGCCGTAGTACTGTAAAAAGCACGACCAATCATTTGAGCCGGCCCGGCTAAAATAACTGGATGGCCTACCTGCCTGTCAGCCTTCCATCTGTGCACAAACTTATCTCGTGCCCTCATTGGTCATGTGCGCGTTCGTGTGTGTTGGAGGAGGGGCTCTGTAAGGAAGTGGCAGATTTTCTCCGGTTGTGTACTTTCAAATTCTAGCGATCTCGAGCCGGTTTCTCAAACTTACCTACCCCACCTTTAAGACAATTTTAGCTAAATGCATCTCTAGAAATTAAACTCTTTAAGTCCAAAAAGAGTCTAATTATTTTTATATTTTACAAAAACTCAATCAGAACTTTGTTTGTCTATAACTATATGCTACTTAATGCAACAATATTATCTAGAAATGTGAATGTCACATACACATATGATTATACACACACACAAAGGCAATTTTCCTGCACAATGATTACTCTTACTTTTTGTACATTTATCTGATCCTTTTTTAGTTTTACTTAAGTAAGATTTTGAATGCAGGACCTTTACTTTTACTTAAAAAGTATCTGAGTACTTCTTCCACCACTGATCTGATCCGAGGCTTCATCTGTGGCCCGTCTCTGTGTCTCTTTCTCTGTTTTTGCACCTCACAGCAGAACAGTTTTGTTTCTGCCCAGATGCACTTTTATGATAAATTGTTAATGTACCCCGTCTCAGTGTGTTTACGGTGTGATTCCTTTTGTTGTTCATCCGTTCCTTGTTTGCAGCGGTGCGTGTGTTTGTGTCAAATGCTGCTGTCCCAGTTCCCCCTCAGAGACTCAGCTGTAGCCCAACGTGAAATGCTAAATTCCCCCCAAACGAAAGAAAAGTGTCTTCAACATACGCAGCTGTTGTAGCTATCCGTGTGTTAGCCATGTCCCATCCTTCATCTGAATCGGGTCCAATCAGGCTGCCTGCTGCTCTCTTAAGACTGTTGTCACACAACAGCATTGGTAATCTGACACCAGGCCTCTCGCTGACACCAAAACAAAAGATTTCGCCCCAGAAGAGCATCACTCTCATTTCCTCTCATTAGTGCGGGAGGCTGGCAGGGCTTGGCGGCCCTCCAGCCTCCTCTCCATCCCTCAGCTCCACAGCAGCCTGCCTCTCTCACCCTGATGCCACGCTGTAACACACTGGCTTCAAGCAAATCCTCCTTTTGAAACACCTCGTCTGTTTCACTCCTGTCTTTCAATCTGACATCACACTGGTCTTTCTCTCTGATAGCAATTTTTATTCTTACATTATCTGTCTTTCTTCATCACCTTCCCACATCGTCCTTCCCCTTCTCCTTTTTTTCCATTACATCTATTTGTTCCTGAACATATTGCCTGTTCCTCTGAAGTCCTCTCTCTTGCTTCATCCCTTTTTTCTAATTGACTTATCTTCACCTTATTTCCTTGCTTCCCTCTGACTCTCTTCATTCCCCTCCCTGCTTATTTTCACTATGTGCGGGCCAGATTTATCAGTAATTAACTGCCCACTTTCCCCCTCATGACTCCAGAATTAAATAATGCTGCCTCCCATTGCTACCTGCAGCATCAGATCATTGAGGAACTGAAGTGCTGTGGGCTGCCCTCTGGGCCTAATCCATTATGGATAAAGATGTGTTGGGTTCACGCGGCCGGCATTGCAAGGATGCATTAAAGTCAATCAAAAGGAAGCCACAACAAACTATTGGCCCCGTCCCCTTTCCCTATTGTCACTTAGCTGAGGGGCTCATTCTCACTTTGCTACAGCGATTCATCTGTATGTTGTGTTGCTGTCTTCTCTATATCAATCTGTCTTAAGGTTAATGCCCTTTTTTTAACGTTTCTTATTGATGATGAGATTGGAGCCCCTTGCACCTCTAAACCTGTTGACTTACACTGTGCCATATCTCTCTCCGACCCATGCTTCTTGTTATTCTGTACGTTAACTTTGGATCAGATAAACGAGGTAAGCCTATACTTTTGGTTATTTATAGTTTTTTTATATTAACGTGTAGATGATATCACAAACCTGATATATGGTGCTTGTTGGCTGTTTTCTTAAAGCCCTGTGGGATTACATCTTCTCACATTTATGATCTAATCTGAAAAGGGCATTTACCAACAGAAGCTATGCAACGTTATTACCAAAGCCTTTGGAAGTGTACAGATGATGAAATGTGTGAAACAGTGACATTATTATTTTACTTTTGTCTCTGTGAAATGTTTTTTTCAGAATATATGATATCTATAAATACACAACAGCTCATGTTTCTTTATGAAAGCTTTTCAAAAGCAACAGCAACACCATTAATGAAAAGAAAGAGTTGGAATAACTCCAAAATTATTAATTATATATTTTGTAAGATTCACTCACAGTAGCATTTTACACTGAACTAGTTAATTACAAATGTAGGTGTGGGTCTACATATTCATTAGTTTGTTTCATTAGCACAGAGCCAAACCCACCAAATCCCAAAAATTAATTAGCAATTTGGACCAAACAGATGATATGACTGTTAATTGGAAAACACCATGAAAAAGGCACACTGAACAACACATCCCACTTTTCAAACTCTTCTATCTTGTATACTTCTCAAAAGCTTTATAAAGCCATGTTTTATAAAAAAAATATATATACAAGACCGTTTTTTGCATGTCCAAATTCTTCTGCACGTTTAGTTAGCAAACTGTAAATGTTAAACAGGTTTCAACTGCTTTATAGATGTTATGTTTCTTGTTTTCAGCTATTTTAAGGGGGATTTGTTGCTTCAAATTATTCATTCAGAAGCAACGCACTAACTCTGCTGCTTCTTTTTGTTACCATCCTTTTTCTACCCACATGGTGTGTATCGTTTGTCAAGTGCTCTGTTGTCGCTTTACTGTATGTAGGTTTTCCCATAGTGATTGAATTCAGAGAAAGTCTCATGCTTTTCACTAACAGTAAGTGGTTACGGACAAAGAAACAGACAGACTGTGCTGGGACTGGAGTACAGCAGGTAGTCTGTCATTAAAAACACACCACGTTGGATCTGAGCCAATGGGAATAATTAGTGGATGGTGAAACACTACCTGCAGATGCACGAGAATGAAGTACAACACTGACCTTTTCTGCAAAATAGTTTTTTACAGATGGAGCCAGCCGTTGTTTTTCAATTACTGTCTGATGAATTTTAGGCAGCCAATTATTCCCAGTGTGGGTATAAAGCCTTTAAATCGAGAGCCTTCATATAATCTCTCCCTCTTGGGACACTAACTACTTTATCGACATCATTTATTTTTCTGAATCCAGCCTCCAAACAGCCTGAGGAATGAGACCATTGCATCTGAGACAGGCAGGGTCACTCATTTTAAGGGAGAACTATTATAAAGTAGCCCAGTAACGCCTCTCGGCTCGAAGATGATTTGTCTTCACATGCTTGATATTAGACCTGTATCCTTCAGAGTGACAGAGGGAGCGACATTGGCCCGTGCACTTACTCAAGACATACTGCCACGGGAGGAGAGGCCCATATAATCCATCTCTGAGACATGCCTCCATCTTCTCTGGAAGGATGGGACATCTTTTTAGCATATTTAAGCTGTTTCTCAGGGAAATCACTAATCCTTAGGACTTAATACAGGAACGTGTCCTTGTGCGGTGTCTGAAAGGCCTTTTATTTGCTAGACAAACGGCCTGCTGTAGCTCCGAGATGAATGAAACCGTCAAGTCCCAGAACACTGATGATTGAAGACAATGCCTCCCGCTCTCTCAGACCGGCTATCAGTATTAAAAGGAGCTCTGCAAACAATCTGTTTAACCTCCGATAAATGCTCGCCAATCTTTACTTGCAGATGGTCTGCAGTCTAATGTATTAGCAGAGTTTTTAAATGTGCATTAGCTGACTATCAAAAAGCCAGAACAATAACATGTTGTTGTCCCGGCTAGTCTGCTCGGAGCCACCCCCCCCCCCCCCCCCCCCCCCCCCCCCCCCCACCCTTGCTGAACAGCGAAGGACTGGCAGTGGAGATGTATTTTCATAATTTGGCTTAATTGTGCCTGGTGTGCCATCAGAATGGAAATCTCCCCAGCGAGAGATGATAAATATTTCATGAGGGTAATCTGAGCGGAGCAGTTTTTTGATCTGCAGACGATGAGCTGGCTTTATTTTTTTCCCCGCGACGAGCTGATTGAGTTCTTCAGATGAGGCAGACAGTGAGACAGTGAGACAGACAGTGAGACAGACAGACAGTGAGACAGACAGACAGACAGACAGTGAGACAGTGAGACAGACAGACAGACAGACAGTGAGACAGACAGTGAGACAGACAGACAGACAGACAGACAGACAGTGAGACAGACAGACAGACACTGCTGTGACAGAGCAACAGGGGGAGAGGTTTGAGCGTGACACCCGCTGCCTCTGCCCTAATGGCCCTCGCTGTTTGACACGGCTCCCCAGGTTCCTCCACCTTCCCTGTGTTTCACGTCCAATAATGATGTGGATATATCTCTCCCTGCGTCTTCCTTTTCTGTTGCCAATGCTCCATTTTTTTTTTTTGTAGATCTGCAAAAGGGAGACTGTGTTCTTTAGCCTGGTTATCATTTAGAGTGCTCACACATGACACCATATTTCATCTCGCCCTCTCTGTTTTCTGTCTTTTCAGAGCTTTTTTGAAGGACAGTCTGCGCCATGGGACTCTGCCAAGAAGGATGAGAACCGCATGAAGAACCGATATGGGAATATTATTGCATGTGTGTACAAAGCACCTCCTGAGCGCTCATGAATTTGTGTGTGCCGTTCCCATTCTTCCGGCTGATTTATTGGCCAGGCTTGTGACTCTGGATAACTATAAGCTGCTCAAACAGAGTTTTATTATCAGCCAACGAGAGCAGCTTTGACCTTTCCAATCTACTTTTATATTCATCTTCCCGCAGTGTCTTTTCAGTTATGAGAAATAATCCATGCAGCAAATGGCACATAACATGTAGCCTCTGCAATGTTTATCAAAATGAATTTGAATTGAATATCACTATTTATTCATATTGCCAATCCAAAGTTGTCTCAACAGTTGAGCTGTAATGCAAATTGGCTGATTTACCCTGATTGGACAGTTCAGCTAAGTCTCGTTAAGCACTGCTATAAGAAAAAAATTACTTTGAATTTACTTAAGAATGCAAATGATATATTTAAATTACCACTAATTTAATCTGTTCGAAATAAAGATGGAAATGAATGACACAAAATATATAAATATAGTCCAGAGTCGAGGCTTGGATCCCATTTCACAAATCCATGTCACCATATATATTTGTCCTTATTCCAAATAATTGTATTGCAGTTTGGCCTATCATAACCATTCTCACTGCTGGTCTTAATCAGAAATAGGTTTTTCATCAAGCTGTAAAGTCAAGGCTCCAAAAATATAGGCTTAATTTTAAGTTTTTGCTATTTTCATATCCGGTTTTAAACTTAAGCAGCATTATTGTGTTTGTGCTACAGGCTCAGGTCACATGACAACAGCCATTCATCAGCCTCAATGCTTTTCTCCAGCCTGTTTTTATCTGCACCGCAGCATAATGCCAGTCTGATCACTCCTCCATCACCACTTTCTGTTTCCCTCCCTGTCCCTCTCCCGCTTTTCTTCTCCTGATGCCCTCGTTAATATGATTAATTCAACGCTGGTTTCTTCTTCTGCCTCTCTTCCAGATGATCACTCCCGTGTCAGGCTGCAGGCCCTGGAGGGGGAACAGAGCTCCGATTACATTAATGCAAATTACGTTGATGTAAGTACACACACCAGCCAGGGCCACCAACGCAAAGGTCAATGCGCTTCCTCTTGGGGAGAGAGAGGGCGCTGGTGCCGCCGTTGCAGGGGCCCGAGGGACAAAGCTCTGCCTGCCCATCACACACACACACATACAGAACCAGACAGACACACACACACACGCACACACACACACACACACACAGAGTGCCTTTATATTCAACTTTAGAGGGCTGCTGTATCACTCTTTTCATTGGATATATTAAGAGGAATGAAGATCAGAGGCTGACAGCGCTGGGAGAGAAAAAAGGCAAACCAGCACACGGGGGATACTGAGGTTATAGTTTTGGACTTTGCTTTGAACAACAGCATGAACGCTGAAAAAATGAGGAGGAAAAGGGAAGAGTTTCCATGGATGATTAATTAGCTTTGTTATGGATGGATAAAACTGAAAAAAGACACACAAAGAGAGCACAATACGGTGCCTCGAACGTCACAATCACAAGCAGCTTAATGGAAATTGCATAAAATAACAACATTAGTATGGCTACCATAAGTCCTCTGCTTTATTTACATGATAATTATAATAACATTTTTTATCCATTAAGTGAAAGTGAAAACTCTTCATACCTAAATGACAGGTCATTTGTCTTTGCTTTCAATAACAGACAATATTTGTGACACAAAAATGATTTATTTTTTTTATTTTCTACCTCTGTAGCCGAGGTTCAGTGAGGCAACTAATTGGTAAAGTTGTATGGATCGTGGTTAAAAGAAACTAACGGTCTCCAATCTCAACGTCTTCATACACAGACCACACACATCGATCTCTTACCTAAAATCATTTCAAAGCATAATACAAAAGTCACACATCTGCTACCTTTTCTGCAAGGTCATTATTATTATTATTTGAGTCACATCTGGCCATTTGCAACCAGTGTCCACTTTTCAGTGAGGATGTTCTTGAAATATGGCAGAGCTTTTGTTCCGCCTCACTCTGCTTCAAGTCCACAAAAGTCGGCAGCCTTCTCTTCTGTTAGACACTGAAAACCCCTCGCGCACAGACTAGTGAATCAAAGTAGACTCAGCAGTTATCTACAGAGGTTTCGTTATACATCTTACCTCAGGAGAGTACTTGCAGCACAGCGCTAACATGCACTTGTGTGACTCTACAGTAAGTAAAAGTCATTAAACAGTGGCGTGAGACATGCCTTTAGTTGAAAACCGATCCAACCCACTTAACTCACACAATACCGAAGCTGTGGTCTGACCTGATTTGCTGTTGATCGTAGTGTTAATAGCAGGATGTGACCAATCACAGCAGCCTCTCTGAGCAGATGCTTCCACTCCATGTGTAATGGCTTGGTGATGTACCTGACTCTCTAAGTGGTTTCTGCTCAGGAGAGAACTCTAACTCTGTCTCCCCATCTTCTTCTCTCCCGCCCCTCTAATGCGGTAATTTGTAATCTCTTGTTACGCTTTCAAACATAAATTCATAATGCTAGGTGTGCCACGGCGAATGCAGGGGGCTTAAATTATTTACCTTTCCCCACTATTCAGTTTATGGCCCATTATGCTGCGAAAAGGGGCGCTGCGGAGAAGACTCTCACAATAGAGAGCGCCCCATTATAAGATAAGAATACACGCATATTAAAGAAGGGCTCTGATTGAAAAGGATTTCCGCTGCTCTGCCAGCTTCATTGAAAAAGTACTTAGTAGAAATGCAGGCAGATGGGTAATGATGTTTTTGCTCTTCAGAAAGCTTTTTAACCCATCTAGAAGCCTGTCCTGCCCAATAAACTCTTATGTGTAGAACATTTCCCACAGTGTTTGTTATTATACTGGCGATTATTTCGAGTCATGTACGAGTAAGCAGAGCTGCTGGGGTATGTTTCTTTTCTCTGCAGCTGATTGAGCATTTTCATAAGCATTCAGGAGGCAGAGAAACTCAGTGTAATAGCCTGTTGTCTGCAGAGTTGTGTTTGTGTGCACACGGGGCACAAAGAGGATTGCCGGGGTTGTGCACTGTGTAGTCAAATAATGCAGGGATGTGCTACTGAGTTTACCATGTGCACAGAAATGTATCCACTCGGGTAACCGTAGCCCTGTCTCCCTATGATGACATGTATGTACAACAAATTATTATTAGCAATACTTTTTATCAACATAAGAAGGAACCATGTTTGCAATTTAGCTTTTATTGAACTTAACTGTTAACTGCTAATGCAAAATTGTAATGCCAGATCTGTGAAATGCTCTCCATTAACACATTGTGTTACTGCAATACTCCTGACACTAAAGCATGATCACTGGTTTATGGTCTTGTTTTGTATCTGTTTTGGCAACCTCACTGACTCACTGTTAATGATCATTTACCCAAACCAGTACACACTTTAATTCAGAAATATGCACAGTGTACATTTGTCTAGTGGCGGTCTACCTTTTTGGTTTATAAGTTCTTAAATAAATCTACTACTTTATCGTAAGTATCCTAATCCTACTGTCATCACGGATCACGGCTGAGCATTGACATTTTTTCTACTCAGACTTAATTTGAAGCCTGAAGAGTAACAAATATCCAGAGGCAAGAAAAATGAGAGAGCAAGTTTGACTTTAAATCCATCAGGTAGTTTGGGAACCACTGATGGGCAGATAGGACAGCTTATAATGCAGAATCCACCTTAAGGCCCTTGTAGTTTAAGTTTATATGGTGCATTGATTGTGCATAATCACAAAAAAATGCCATAAATTACCAGAAACAGCTGACGCTCAATAAATCTGGGGCTCTCAGCGGCCCCTAAGGGTCCGGGGCCTAAGGGCAAGTTCTCACTTTGCCCTTTTACTTATCCTCCGTGTGACTTCTGCGTAGCATAAGGATGTTACTCTTTGCAGTGAACATAATAAGCATTTATATTTTATCCGAATTGTATTTGCCAAGTATTATATAAACTTATTTTCTATTGTAGGTGATAGAGACAGTACCCTAGATTTGCAAAAAAAAAGTGGGCTATCTAATGATATTCAGACTGGAAATACAAATTCATGCCCACGGGCAAAAACACTCCATGCTGCTTATTTTAGACATTCTGTGTCCCGCTGTTGCTGGAAAGAATTAATGTTAATGATAATTGTGATAAGCAATGCAGCAAAATACAGAGAGCATAGCACATATTTAATTCCCCTTTAGTAAATCACACATCCCTGGAAACAAAGCCTGTTCAATTAATAATTTCAACATGGACTTTTCTACATTTTCTTCTGTGTCTTGATCATGAAGAAACACTGTTATGCAGCTAATGTAACATGCGTCTGAACAGTCCATTTATAGTGAGCTCTACTCACCTGACAGTCACTGTCAGGGCACTCCTTTCTTCCAGACTCTCCCCCCCTCTAATCCGACGGGCGTACTGGGCCTCCACTTTACTTGACAGAACTTACATGAAAGCACAAACAAATCTCCTCCTCAGTCCAGAGATAAAGAAGTCATTAAAAATGGAGGACAGTTGAAAGAGCCGTGGATGAGAGAGAGAGTGAGGGAAATATCCTTTGTGTCTTTCTCCCTTCATTGGAGGAGCGTTAATCACAGTCCAAGTTAAATTGAATATGAGTGAGATAAGCAGAGCAGCAGGGGTGTGTGGAGGGGGGTGGGGGGAGACAGACAATCAAGAGGAGGCAGGGCCGGGGAAGAGCCTTTAAGTCCTAATGTTTTGTTTCCTGCCTCATATCTCTGGAGAGAAGACAAGGAATTGGACAAATAAAACTTGAAGGGATTAGAGTAATCCCTGAGACTAGGGGCCTATTGTGAAGATCAGTGCTGTTAGTTGTATCTTGGGGATTATCAACACTTTGGCTGCTTACTCCAGAGGTGTGCTGCATATACTGTAGAGTGTGTGATGGAGAGTGTTTGTTCTTCCTGTATCCAGATGCATCCATCACAAGCTAACATTTTCCTCCGTCAGATGTTCAAACAAAGAAGTGAATTGGTGTACAGTAGCAAACAGCTGGCAGCCTGACAATGCACACTGTTTCTTGAGAGCGGCGCACACATTTATCAATGATTCCTCTTAAGGTGGAGCACCAGTGAAGTAAATGTTTGCTGCAAAAACGTGACATCTAAAATAAGCAACAGCTGCTAACTGGTCTCCCATGAAGTTTTAAATATGTTCTGTGGTTTGTGATGTACAAATGAAGTGAGTTTGCATGAAAAGGGTCAACCTGCACCGTCAGAAAACAGACTGAATATCAGAGACAAATGTGTGATTTTTAAGATGTAATGTCTGTCCCCAAAACAGCTTGTCTTTGACGAGTAGGAAGAACAACTGACTCTTCTCTCACTTTGTCTGTTCTCAGGGCTACCACAGGCCAAATCACTACATCGCCACTCAAGGTAAGAATAAAACTTTGCAAGAGCTGCAATGCACTCTGGGTTGTATTGAGAGGGCGGGGAGAATTGAAGTCTGTGTGTTTGGGGCGGATGAATGTGTGCAGGTGTCTCTCCGAACATCCCCATCGTTGTTTACATACGCTCTTGAAAACTCCTCTTTGATGCTCAGTCAAGTGTGTGTTCGGGGAATCTGGTACCGCTCAGTGCACACACACACTCACACCCACACACACACACGCCGACACACACTTACGGACCTCTGTGCGAACAGAACAGCACGCTTCCTCTCCTCCTCTGTCTCTTCCCTTCCATCGGTGGTGTGGGAGCGATTAATCAGGCAGTCTGGGAGAAAGCTGAATAAATAAATGGATTAGCTGACATGTACAGGCACATTTTGTCACTGTGTTAATCTGGCCGGCAGATTCGCAGCGCGAGGAGCACTTACCGTGACCCTAGAGGTTAAGTCTGATTGATGGTTAATTGTTATGAATTTTGCGTCGAGAGCCTCACTCCCACACAACGGGGGCTGCGTGCATGGGGATTTTTGCGTACCACTTTAGAGGAGAAAAAAAAAATCAGTGGAGGGAGAAAAAAAGAGAAAGGCAGAGGCGTTTTTGCGAAGAGGCCTTAATGGATTCACAATCTGCTTTGGCGGAGCTGGGAGTTGCATAATTACCTGTTTATTAGTGCATTGCCTCTCTTCCTCAGTGTCTCAATTAAAACAACCCTCTGTTTGCTCTTACTTCAGGAAGAGATGGCATACCAATCAGGCAGTGGCCGCTCAGTGTGTCTGCCTGTATGCTCAGCACCTGATATACACTGACCACAGAGTCACCCTTCAAAACTAAGCCGTCCGTCAAGTGCCAACCCTCTCCTCTAACCCAAGCGGCAAACTTAACCATTTTAACTGGATTACTTTGACTTCTATAATTATCCTGAAGTCATTAAGAGCATGGCATATTCCATTTAAACATATTCATATGGAGATCAGCAGTCGAAGAAGCCCTCTCCAAGATGAAAAGCACAAGAAGCCAAACGTGTTTCCATTCAAATTAATTAGCGCCTGTTTTCTCGTTGAGCTTGCATAATAAGTGCTCATTTTCCAACAACAGTATCGCAAGCCCTCTGTAGAGCCATCCAGCACATAAGAGGGGAGTTGTGTGTGTGTGTGTGTGTGTGTGTGGAAACATCTGTATTCTCTGGGAGAGCGGGCGCTTTTATAATTCATCATCGGCTCCAGCAGACTGACAGGAAGGAAGGCTCAGTCTGCTGACACTGAGCAGAGAGCAGCAGAGATGATAGGAGCGCACACACAGACGAGTCTCTCTCAGTCAGAAAAACTGCATACTGTAGCACCTGAAAAAAGCACCTGGGCATTGGCACAGTTGGCGAAAAAAAATTTTAGGAAGTAGTCTCTTCTCTTTCCCCAGTAAAGTTTTTCAGTGAGTGACACTTCAACTCATGCCCATTGGGACCAGCGGTAGCTCAGAAAGTGATGACATAGTGCTGGATAAGCTAAAATATCTTACCCATAAATTGGTTGTGGGGGTGGTTTAGGATGTGCTTAATATGGCAGACGGGTGGCGTAACGTTGTCCCTGTTCTCTTATGCTATAAACTACAATGACACTCATTACTTTGGGTTTTATTGATGAGTCCCTTTGCTCCGTCAAGGTGACAACGGCAGGTAGAACAGCTGTCACTCCATAAAAGCCTCATCACCTCAGCTCCGCTACTCATTATGTAGGTCATTCTCTCATCCAGGGATTTTTTTCTTTGCTGGAGGAATACCACAACTGACTCTGAGTAATTCAACGCCAGCCACAGCTCACCTACTTAGCGAAATTGAGCGTGTGCATGCGGCTCAGCCCTCCCAGTTTGCCGCCTTGCCTCTGTCCATTTTTATGTCCTGCGGATCATTTAAATACCGATCAGACATGAGCTTCCTCCTGGTGTAGACTGTGAATTACACTGAAGCCGGGGTGCAAACGGCTCCGATAAGTCCCTGCATCCTCCTGGTGATGTGGAAAATATTCATGATGTGGCGAAGGGTTCAATTTCATCAAGCGTTCCCCCTCTGGTCTTTTCCGCTCTTCCCTCCCCTCCTTCACAAGCACCAAATGTCACCAGCATCGCAAAAGTTTTATTATTTACAGGTTAACATCTCAAAGCCCACCGGGGGCGGGGGGTTGGAGATGGAAAAAAGAGAGAGAGAGCAAATCAATGATAAGTGAGTGTACATTATGCCAGAGTCTGCTGCATGTAATATTAATGGGCAAGAGGGAACACAGCGCCTGTGTGTTTGTCTGAGAGTGTGTTTGCGCGCACGTTGATCGGGAGTGTTGCGGCGTACCTGGCTGGGGGACTTCTACAGCTGTCACACTCATCGCTTCTGAGGAGGAACAGGCCCGGTCCCAAAACACAGCGTCGGCTGCAGCAGCATCAGCACTCTGACAGCTGGAAGTGAAGCTTCTACTGGTGTACTTCCTCTGTGAAGTGCCTCCTCCAAACTTCTTCAACTAGACTTCACGCCGCTCGTAGAAACAGTGCTCTCACCGCGTAGTTCCTCGAGTGATCTCTCAAACCAATTTCTTTCTTGAACAACTTAAAAGGGCAAATGTCATGCCTGTTGTACGAATGGCAATTGCTGTTAGTTGTGGTGAGAAGACATGTCAGCCCAAAAGTGTCACATTCAATAGAAAACATGAAGAAATATGAAGTGACTTCATCCTTAATTCCTCTCGGCTGCAAGGCATTGGAGATGGAGCCTCTCCTTGCTTAAAACCTAACCTCAGTGAATCAGCTACTTTTAGCTAAATTCGACCCATGCAATGATCATAGTTCTTTGCAAAGGTACACATACAAATTGCTGCCACTCTGACCATACTGTCCTGATTTGAACTGTCATTCTATTTCTTTCATAGAAACACAAAAGAACGAGCCTTTAGAAAAATCCAATTTCATTCTGATCATCACTATTGTTTGTGTTTGAGTCGGTGCTCGTTGTAGAAATGGCAATTGTTGTTAGTTGTTATGGTGACAAAACATGTCAGTGGGGCTGTAAGGTTTGTCACATTCAGTAGAAAATAAAAAGCAATGAAATTCAGCAAGCCTTACTGTAATTCCCCTCTAGAGGCAATGAAATGGTGATTATGCGCAAAAGACGCAACTCTATTCTTTGTACTACACTTTACGAAAGTACTTGCAATTGCTGCAAAACCATAAGTAAGTAAGTAGGCGAGTAGTAAGCTAATTTTAGCAAGTTGATTTACGGAAGTACCCCACTTCAACGGTCGTAGTTCTTTGCAATGTGTACCAAACACATACAAATGGCCGCCACTCTGATTATCATGCTATCTAGAGTTGAATGGAAAGGTCTGCTCTAATGTCATTCTATGTTAATGGTTGAAAAAGTAGAGAATGAGCCTTATAGATATCAATTTCCTTCTTGTCGTCACCATTGTTTATGTTTGTGACCATTTTTTTCTTATAAACCAATTCATCAGGTGCCAAACTCACTCGCTTCCTAACTTGTCATCAAGTTCAGCACTACTTACCGTCTGCTCTTCACCTATTTTGCATCTATTCGTGTATATGCGAACATAAATTGGCTGGCTGAAGCTTGGCAGGAGCCTCACATTGGATGATTTGCCACACAATGCCAAGTGTTATTGTATTCCTGAAGTCCTACACACCAGCTGTCCTGCTTCTCAGTCTTCCTCTCGCAAACTTCTCAGCAGTGCATTTCCTCCCTTCGGGGACAAGTGTAGGAGGAAGCCGAGTGGGTGGTTCAATCAGTTATTGGAGAGGCTGGTAGTGACTGGAATTGGAGATTGAGGTCTTGCAGTTACAATCGAGACAAAGCACCTTCTGCATAGCAGCCGAAATGTGGGAATAAAAATGGAAAATATTGAGTTTTGTTCCAAAATGTTGAGCTATCCAATTTGGGATGGAAATAAGTGAGCAGAAGTTCAATTCTTAATTTAACAAACATCAACTGTTATTCTCTGCTAAATGTTTCCAGAGAAAATGGGCTGGCTGCAGAGACATGATTGTGGGGATCATTTGGAGTCATTTATCTTTTTGTTCTGCAAGAAGTCTCTCAAAATTCACTGCACAGTTTGGCAGAAATTGATTTAAACTATGTTGCATGAGGCTGTGCTTGAGTACAGTTGGAGGATAGACCGTTAAAAAACAGTTTAGGCACCACAGAAAGCAAATCAAAACATGGGTTGATCAATCGAGTCATTAAAATGGTGATGGCACTTTGTTGATCCCCTGAGGGAAATTAGGTTGTTGCAGAAGACGAAACCCAATAAGGAACACAAACACTTCAATAATGGGAAAGGATGCTGGAGCTGCTGCAACTGGTGTCTCATAACTTCTCCACTGAATGATCAAAAGATTAAATACTGTTTATATGCAACAAAGCTTTTTTTTTAAGAGCGCTTTTACCTTGATTTGCTAATTGGACATGATAGAGATACAAACATCCCTAGTTTGAGATCCGCCATAATGTTGTAGTTTTAACTACTAGCTAGAAGATAACCCTAACTCCTTAATTTTGAGAAGAGTAAGAGCAAATGTCTTCTTACCTCTATGAAAACAGCATATATCAGTCAATGTTTGAATAAGTGAAGACATTGGGACATATGTGTCCCGTTTAAGCAGTAAACCAACCATTTTATTTCAGTAATATTCCACAGTAAGTTGTATTATTCATAAGTGCTTCCATGTGGCCTAATGTTTAATTTTCTAAAAAATTGCAACATTCCTGATGCATGTTAACCAACATTTCGATGCTTCAAAACTAAGATTTGTTTGTCTCTTTTAAAGGGTATATTTAAGATAGGGCTTAAAGAGACAGGCATCAACATTCAGCCTTTCAGACTGACGTGATGCGGTAATATTTTGAAAGACTGTATGGGAAAAATAATAGTTTTTTTAACATTAAAGTATGTAAACATGTTCTAGTACAATTACTTGTGCCCTTTAAATGACCATTAAAAAAGTATTTAATTTTAAATCAGAACTTGGAGACTGACCAAACGCTGTCCGCCAAAAGCCTGTAAAAATAACTCAATTGATTTACATGACCTGTTTTTTAACAGGATTCAAAGGGCCTTAAAGGTTATTTAATTTATTTACCAAATAATTACAGTGATGACTGAAAGTTGTGTCTGTGCCGTGTCTCAGTGTGTGTCTGAATAATTTGTCATGTCTCCAGGTAATTTGGCCCATCGCAGGAGAATGCACAACTGCAGAGATTTGCATTCACTAATTAATTTGTCAGAAGTAATTTTTTTTCTCCACTTGGTGCTTGATTAAAACTAATATTAATAATTTTAATTAACCAGAATAATAATTAAAATCCTATCAATGCACAATTATTGCTCAGTGGAGTTTTAAATATTGGAGGCATTCAATGGCTCGCTGCTCATTTATTTTGATGTTCAGCAGACACGGTAGGGTCTGGTTCAGTGGAAAGGTTGGTGTTGAGCAGATGAGGTTTCGTGGTAATTACCTTGAGCTTTGCCATGCACACACACACACACACACACACACACACACACACACACACACACACACACACACACACACACACACACACACACACACACACACACACACACACACACACACACACACACAGAGAGGCGCACACACACACACACACACAGAGAGGCGCACACACAGGCTTTAGTCTCATCTTTAAATGTGTGATTTATTTACACTCACTTGTTTTCATCTGTAGTTAAACCCTCCGCTGTAGAGTAAGCACTTTGCTATGAATCTGTTATTGGAAGCACTATAAATAAATCTGGTTTGACATGGTTTTCAATGCCCCATCCAAGAAGGGAAAATGGAGGGGAAATGCTCTATAAACTGCATTGTTGCTGCAGCACTGTAATACCTTCAAATCCCCTGTGTGTGTGTTTATTGTGTGCAAGTTGATCTGCTTCTCTTTCTGCCTCTGAAGACAGAAGCAACATGTGAACGGTGAACATGTCGCCACTGCATAAAAAACATCACAGTGAAGTGAATAATACATACAAATAGTCTTTTTTAAAGGAAGTGATGAATAATGCGTTTAAATTAAACATGATACGAATCATAAGATTAATGCAGGGAGAGTTGTGTAGATTGAAAATTCTGTGTATTACTGTTTATAAACTGTTCTCCCTGGCTCTATGGATAATTTTCACTTTTAGCTAGTATTGTAAGATTAGAAAATGATGTGAACACTCATACATTATTTAGTTTTGTTTGGTATGGGCCTTTTTTAAAGAGTCGGACAACCACCTTAAATTCCATTTTATTGAAATATCAACACCTTCCTACAGTGATATTTTAATAGAATTCTTAATTGAAATTCAAATGTTCAGGTAGCAAAGTACTCTGTCTGTGAGTCTGAATATTTTGGCCATAAAGTATATGTATTGACAGATTAAAGAAACCTCCTGTAGTTAATCCAAATACAATGCACCATGACAGAGTATACATCTACAAACTCAGATGTTAAAAAGGTCAAGAGGACAGAATAACTGGATTTAGTCAAAAAAGGAAATGGCTTCTGTTGCAAAGAACACTATAAAAAGGGACTAGGATCAATACATGATGTAATAAAAGGACTGTAAGTGCAATTTACTAACTCACAAATACTCTCTTCTCTCTTTTTTTTTTAAAGGCCCCATGCAGGAGACAGTGTTTGACTTTTGGAGGATGGTGTGGCAGGAGAACACGGCGGCGATCGTCATGGTGACCAACCTGGTGGAAGTGGGCAGGGTGGGTATTCATTCAATGTTCACTCCAACCGCTGATCTCAAATAAGATTACCTTGCCCCCGGACGGCTGACAGCCTGATTGTATCTCAAGGCAAACGCAGCCATCTTTTTTTTAAGTGCCTTTGTGTGTTTGAACATCAGTACCCAGATGTTTCTGTCTGTGTGTGTGTGTGTGTGTGTGTGTGTGTGTGCGTGTGTGAGTGTGAGGCGCAGGTCTCGCATGCCGCCAGCTCTTTTTCCATCTGATCAGTGAGAAGTGAGAAGAAACTGATTGATGGCCTTCATTACCAGAGAGGCATCCAGGCAACTGAGTACTGTTTCATCTGAGTGGCTCTATAACAGGAGATTACACTCCGCTGTCGTAGCCGGCAGCTCCTACCAGAAATATCCCTTAATGTTATCCTCATTGGACAAAAGAGGACTGCTAGTGAGTGGCAAAGATGCTTCATAATGTTCGAACTAATCGTAGAACCTTGACTCTCTTTTTTTGTTCGCTATAGCATGTGGTCTGCCTCAAAGAAAGAAAAAAAGAGCCCTACTTCAGTCCTAATTTGTTCCACTTAAGTCGCACTGTAGTTCCTCATGGTGAGGTTATAATCAAGAGAAAATGAAGGTATTAGCGTAGAGTGTAATGCTTTGACTGCCAGGGGATTTTTACTCCAAGAATTGTAAGCACATTCACTCTGAAAGCCCCTTTAAACACAGGCACACCTTGATTCCGCTGATGTGCATTTTTGGTGGGGGCTTAAATGTAGCAGAGCTGATAATGATTCATGGACCGATCTCTAGGTACCTCATTAGGCCGTTCCTCTACAGTAGCTGAGCCCAGCCCGCCCCACACCTTCTCCACACCTGCTTAGCTGCGGAGCGTCCTCCGAGGGCCCCGGCCCCCTAACCGTCTGTTATATGATCCTTGTCCAATGGCGGGCGGTAGGCACAGTTGGTCACAGTGACGGTGGCTCCTCGGAGGGGCCTCATAAAATCACTCCGCCATATCACAGTGGGCCATCTGCTCGGCACAGTTGCTGATGAACTCTGGGAAATCCTGGCACACGCAGCCTCTGTACCCCGCTGGCTCACACACAGGGGCGGCGCTCGGCGTACTTTGATGTATGAGAGATTTGGTTTGTAAGGTTGTTTGTGTGTGTGTGTGTTGAGGTGATGCTACCTTGTGCTTCTTTTCCAAGTGCCATGAAAAAATAATAAAAATAAAAATACACATAAGTGGACCCACAAAAAAAAGAACATCTGTGTGTATGCTGGCATAATTTAGCCCAAAGGCTGATTCCCCCCCAAAAAATCAGGCGCCTGATTCAGAGTGATCTAATAAGGTAATGGCTTTTGCCTAATTCAATCTGGCTGGAAGCGGACGGTGGATTTGTGATTGTCATCGGGGATTAGTCATCGGGGTGTCAGAGAGAAGGACCTGAAAGTCCCCGTCTGTCTGTGTCACTCCACAAACCAAAATCTCATTTCATTCCTAATCAGCGCGCGTAGACTCCAGAAATGAAAATTGAATCTAGTTGTGGCTGATGTCGCATTTATCCCTCATCAAAAATTATCATTCTCTGATATACCTCCATGATCTCAATCTCTATTACCAGCCTTACTCCTTCAGTATCAACAGTTTAATTGAACGGGGGGTGGGGGGGGGGGGGGGTTTTACACTGTTATGATACCTAATACGAGTAATATTTCCAGTGGGATGTTTTAGATTTCTGTTGGGAAATCTGTTTTAAACAGCTGAGAGTTTATTATTTCATCTCGTTATTGGATTGTCATTATATCTCCCTCATCCAATTGTAGAACATAGTCTTTTTAATGTTTTGTCCTTTTTCTCCGTACTGGTAGTCAAATACTTAAGGTGGACAAATCTCACCCCGTCCCTCAGCGTCTATTCTCCTCTCTTCCAGCTTCTCCACAGTCTACTTTTACACTCATTTTCACATTATCGATGGGAATGAAAAAGTAATAATGTGAGAATGAGCTCACCGTCGATACGCAAGATTCCCATTTACAGCAGGTCCTTGACCAGGGGTTGAAACTAATACGAAGCAAATCTCATCTTGGCTTCAGAGAAATGTCTCAGACACTGACATATCAGATGGCAAATGCAGGGTGGCAATCACCTTTATGGGAAAATGATAGCGTGCAGACATTCTAATATGAAATAAAAGCTTGTTTTAAATGCATTGCAATTAGTAAACAGTATTGTGTGCATGTGCTTATGAAACACTTGCTTCTGTCACTCTCAGGTGAAGTGCTGTAAGTACTGGCCCGATGACACTGAGATCTACAGAGACATCAAGGTGACGCTGATAGAGACTGAGCTGCTGTCAGAGTATGTCATCAGGACCTTCGCTGTGGAGAAGGTACACTTTTTAACGTCTTTTGTCCACTAAGAGGTTTTACACAACATTCAGACATGTGCTCCAGACCTTAACCCTTTTCTATTGTGCAGTTAGGTTCAATAAGTTCCGGGTTATGTGCTTATTTCATAAGTACCTCTTTAAAATGTTCTCTGCTACCTTGACTTGTTTTGAAAAGTACTTTATGCTGTTTCCTCTTATGTTTATTTTATAAAAACATACTAAACAAGGTCATGGCAATATTACTTGTGCTGCCAAATGTCTCGTCAAATATCGCTTGAAAATAATAGCAAAGAAAACGCAATGATTTGCTGCAAGATCTTGCCTTTTTTCAACTTTTTATATAACACACTTAGATTTTAAGGCCATTATTTGAATATTGGATGGCATTGGTATTCACATTGTATCGTTGGCAGAAAGGCATGCAGCTTCACACTGAGATGAATGGGTTGGAAGCAACACAAAGATTTTAACAAATTTCGCCAGCACTGTTCAAACGAAAATGCATGCCTCCAGAATAATATGAAAGATGATATAATCAATTCAAAAACCAGACAAAGTACCTTGAGGAAGTGAGACTTTCCTAAGGGGATGTAAAAAGAAACAGACCATGTGAACAATGCAGGTGACAGTTGCTAAGTAAGGACAGCATGTAATGATCACTTTGTCTTATTCAATTTAAAAAGTGGAACCAATTCAGACCCTAACTTTAAATGTTGAAGTACAAACAGTTCTTTAGTTTACAATCACGTTATAGTTAAGTGTGTCTCTTTATAACCCAAAGCAACAGGTAGAATCCACCTATAAATGTAATCTAAATTCAAACTTACGTAAACTGCAAATATATATTAGATATATGTAAAGGTTTATAGATGTAACAACACAATCCTGTGTTCCTGGAGCGGAGGCGTGACAAGAGAAATGCTCCTGTACTAAAGCTCAAGAAAAGGTTTTGGCAGCCTTGAACATCCTGTTTGCTGTCAGATAATGAAAACGTTGCTCCTCGATTTTCCTCCATGAAGTGTGTGTTTGTATTCAATCTGACTCTGTATTTGCTGAAGAAGGACCTCTCACATCGTCTGCACACTGTATCTGCTGTTCTCTCCAAACACTGCTCTGCTCTGTGTGTTTAACATGATGACTCTGCTCCTCAGAGAGGGGCTCATGAGATTCGGGAGATCCGACAGTTTCACTTCACGGGCTGGCCAGACCACGGGGTTCCCTATCACGCCACGGGCCTGCTGGGATTCATTAGGAGAGTCAAGTCCAAGACCCTGACCAACGCTGGGCCCATGGTGGTCCACTGCAGGTTGGTGTGCACTGCAAAGACCACTCTGTTTCATACGTTAGGTTATCCTCTGTCTCACCTGTCAGTGTATGTTTGTGTATGCATGTTCTCTGTCCTACTAGGTAGTTGATGTTACTCTCCACAGTTTTTTAAAGCCTCAGATTTTAAACATTAGCAGTTGGGGCCACAAGATAAGCAAAGTACGAAGTAACGTCTCCAGCCTGCGAACATTTTCGACAATATTTAAATATCTTAAAACAAAATCAAATCTGCAGTTCTCAGCAATGTGGAGAGTATCTGTGCATACATGTAGATCATAGCCAATATGTTGTAAGAAAGTAACACTCTTTCCTCCTAACATACTTTGATTGTCAGTCTTCTTGTTTGTAGAAACAATCATTTTGTCTTCCAAAGTCTATATATATATTTTTTTTTAATTTAATCATTTATGTGACGAGGGACAGTGCACATTGATGAACATTTAAAACAAATAATGCTTTAAAAACGTAAACATGCCGGATTTTAGCTTTGAGCTAGTTTCCATCCGTAGTCCCTCACATTCAACATTTAAGAACATGACATTTATATACATAGCAAAATAAATACATGATATGATATTTGTGCACATTAGTTTTCAGTAGTCTCTAAGAAAAAAAGAATTGCTGACTTCAAGTACAGTGACAATACTTCAAATATTTTAATTATGTAAAACTGTAGGTTTCCTAAAAGAAACAGTGGTTTCTACATGTATGGCACCGCTGAAGTGTCCAATGTGTGTTTCCCTGCAGTGCCGGGGCGGGGCGGACCGGCTGCTTCATCGTCATCGACATCATGCTGGACATGGCGGAGAGAGAGGGGGTGGTCGATATCTACAACTGTGTGAGGGAGCTGCGCTCACGGAGGGTCAACATGGTGCAGACTGAGGTACGGTGCATCTGTCCCACTGTGACTCTCCATGAGTAAAAGGAAAAGTGAGGATTCAGAACGGCAGGCTGTTGCCATCAAATGTGGATTAACTAGATTCTGCGAGGATTACTAAACATAAGCCCCGCTCCTCTGGTGCTCCAGAACAAAAGCAAAGAAAGAAGCTCTTTTGTGTTTTTTATTCAGGGGAAATAAATCATTACCTGACATTTATTAGTCAATATATCTGCAGACTAAGTGATCCAATCTGTAGGGATTTTTTTCCAGTTTGCCAGTGACTGATGATGCCCATTATCTTTTAAAATGCAGTATAATTAGTTTTAATTTTTCGCCGTCAGTCATTTTCAAGTGCCAGTTCAAGTGCATTTTTTAGTAGGAATATATTTTATTATATAACAAACTGTCCACATTATAACTGACCTCCATGTGACGTCTGTAGGGCTGTAAATGCTCTGGGTTCTTGTTTTAAAGGGGACCTATCATGCAAAATGCACTTTTGTACGTCTTTTATACATGAATATGTGTCCCCGTGTTCCAGGGAACTCACCAAGTGTCAGAAAACACAACCCTCTCTATTTTCCTCCATACCCAAATCTCTAAAAAAGGGGCTGCAACGGATCTGATAAAAACTGATCCAGATTTGAACACTGTCCTGACGTCAGGACAGTGGCGCTACGGCTATTGGGCCAACTCCACCAATCAGGAGGAGACAGCCACGGCCATTGCCGTTCGAAAGCGCTGGAGACGCTGTAGTACATATGCCAGGCCTGTAGGTGGTGCTGTTCTCACAGAATCTGCCCTTGCAAAAACAGAGCTAAAGTTTTTCAAATTGAGCGAAATGAGGCATGGCTAAAATGCATGATCTGTTTGGTATTTTGAAAAAAAAAAAGTATAAATATGCCTTATATAGGTATCGTCCTACACTATATTATTCAAATATAGCATGATAGGTCCACTTTAACCTGTTTTAAATATAAGATGTTTATATTTTCACATATGAATTTATAGTTACATTTTTATGATTTCTCACATAAGACATTTATAGAACACCCCAACTATTTCCCAGGAAGCTAAACACAAGTGCTTGGCATTACATGCTATAATAAAAAAGGTTTAAATGCGGGTAAATTAGATCATTTAGCTGGTATTGGCGTCTGAAAACACCCCGAGCTCATCCTCCATCTTTATACTAGTGTGGGCTACCCAATGGACTTTGTGCTTTCCTGAACACGGGCCATCTGGAGGTGTCCATCGTCTCGTTGGATGCTCCATTTCACCGTAATTCCCTCTAAATCACAGGCGTCATTGGACTTAATGGGCAAATGCTTCATCGTTGACGTCCGAATTGGGATTTGAGTAACTGGAGACCAAATGTTGTTCACCCTGAGTCACTCTCCTCAAATTCAGTGACCTTCAAAGTGTGTGTGTGTGTATGTGTGCGTTTCCCCTCGCAGGTGTTTCAGGCTTGTTGGCACGGCTGTTGAGCCCGCGGCCAGACACCAACCCTCCAACGTGGTTTAATCTGTCCGCGGAAATGAAAAGCCTTGTTGTTGTTTATAGTTTATGAGCTCAGATAGGATCTATCAATCTGTTGATTCCTGTTTGAGAGCCGTGTTGCCGCCGACCCAGCCTGAGTATAGTGAAACACTCGGGTCAGCAGTTCAGGTTCTGCACCCGACTTAACAAATGGCAACACATGTTTCCCCGTAAATCTGTAAATCAGTGACCCCTGTGCAAGTGTGCGGATTTTGGTCCGAAGTGACAAGGGAGTGTCAGCTGGAAATGTCACTTCAGAAGAGATTTGCATCAAGCCTCAAGCTGTGTCACCACGTCCACTGCTTGAGTGACTGATGCGAGGAGGAGGAAATGTGTCGCGATTTCCAGTTTTGCTCTGCAGGAAGTTGGGAAAGCAGGGTGTTTTTCGTTTTGTGTGTAAACGTCAGCCTTGTTTTAAGCCTTGACAAAATCATTTGCAAAAACCCGATGAGGTTTGGCCAAGGTCACCACAGTTTGACGTGGTCCTCAAAAACTGAAAAAGGTCATTGAATTTCAGAAAAAGCCTTCTTCCAGGCCTCTAAGGTTTATAAAAATGTCATGAAAGTCTGGGTTTTATAACAGAATGAAATCAGCTTTGTACCAAGAATATGCTAAATTATGTAATGTAACCTTTGAACACAGACAATGACAAATATTAGTCATAGAAACTGCCTCAGGGGGAAAGAATAATCATGGTAAGGTCACGGAAAGGTCATTGAATACTTCTGGTAAAAAGGCAGAGGAACAGTGATGCATTTCTGCCGCTTCTGCTTGGTAAAAAAGAAATTGTCTCTTTTGCCGTAAGTGTAAGAAGTCTTATAGATCCGCAATGAGGATGCTGTTTTTTGCAGGAGCAGTATGTCTTCATCCACGACGCCATCTTGGAGGCGTGTCTCTGTGGCGACACCACCATCCCTGCCAGTCAGCTGCGCTCCGTCTACTACGACATGAACCGCCTGGACCCCCAGACCAACTCCAGCCCCATTAAGGAGGAGTTCAGGGTGAGGAGATTCAAACTCTGTATGCAAATAAAGCAATATCTCAGGAGTAGGACAAGTTCAAAACAACAGTAAACATGTTGTCTCTTGACGAATGGCGCAGACCAATCTGTGCGAATCAGAAGCAGAGATGGCAAAAGTACACATCCTTTACTCAAGTAGAAGTACAGATACTTGTGTTTAAAAAAAGTACTGACTAAACTTCTTTACTCAAGTAAAAGTAAAGAAGTATGGGCTTCGAAATGTACTTAAATAAACATACATGCATAACTACCAACTGTTTTAAAGAGTACCTGACCTCCCTTTATATTAATAGAACAATAATGTCATTGTTAGCTAATGAATGTTTCGATGCTGAACAACGGCAACATGACAACGTTTTCATTGGTCCCTCTTCTTTAGAGAAGACCAGGAAATGATGGATACACGGATCGTGTTCAAATCAATAGGCACGCAATGACTCTAAATAATAATGATCACGCCACCAAACACACATTAAAACTAAAGGAACAAACCTGTTTTGAAAATATAAGAAGTACAAAGTACAGGTATTTGTGTTAAAATGTAAGATGTAAAAGTAAAAAGTCGTAAAGTACTGTTACAGAAAAATGTACTTTTTTCTGTACTCCACTACTTCCCACCTCTGTTCAGGAGCAAATATATCACCTTGCTTTAATCTCTAATAGTAGAACCCCTCCTCGGACAAATCAGTGTTATACGAGATGCATCGCCCCCCTTAAGTTTCATCTCAGTAGCATCAGGGGACTAAGAGATATCGCTAATGTAACTGATTAAAGAATTGCATTGTTAATTACCATATTGGGAGATAATTAGCACACCCAGGAACCGAGCGCCTACCTTCCTGCGCCGGTCTGACGGTGCGTGTGATTCTTCTTCATCCCTGACAGACTCTGAACATGGTGACGCCCACGCTGCGGGTGGAGGACTGCAGCATCGCCCTGCTGCCCAGGAACCACGAGAAGAACCGCTGCATGGACGTCCTTCCTCCAGACCGCTGCCTCCCCTTCCTCATCACCATCGACGGGGAGAGCTCCAACTACATCAACGCCGCGCTCATGGATGTAAGAGTCGATATTTATTTTATTACCCAAATGTAAATCAAATATGGGACAGAAAACAGTCATGTACAGAGCCATGGTCAGCTGGAATTCTTTACCTGTCCATATCATTCAGGAAAATTCACAAGTACATTTCAAAAGGTTGCTAATAAATGATGTCAGTATTATAAAGTAAAATTGAACTGTATGTATTATTAAGTACAATTATTTGTATTCTTTTGTTTGGCCTTACAGTATGATGGCTAAAATTGGATTTTAGTTTTCACTTCATAGAACTGTAAATTGCATGAAATGATGAACTGTTTTGTTTTGTGTGTGTGAGGACCCCAGGAAGAATAGCTAGTGCTAATGGGGATCCTGATAAAGAATACGAATTTACAGGAACGATTAACCTTTTAGGATTATTCACTCCACAGAGTCATTAAAAGGAGCATTGTAGCCCCATTCTAATTCTTGCTAACTGAATCCCTGTGATTTTAAAGTGGTAAATTGACACTCGGTCACAAGGCATGAAATTGCAGCTGAGTGAGCTAAAACTTTCCCACATGTTGCTTTCCTTGTCAAACGCTATTCAGTGATGTCAAAGCAGGTATTTTGCCTTTGATAGCTAATGGAACCGATCACAGGATATTAAGGCTACTGTAAGTGCTGACATTGGTGTTTCAGCGTCTTATACAAGAGGCAATGCTGCTACTTAAGGCAGAACTGTAACCTTTAGGCTTTAACTTTACTTCAGTTTAGTACTTGAAGTTCTCACATGCACACCTCAGGTTGTAGAGTGAGATGTAAAGAGACAACATCACAAGACAAGAAACAACAATATCTGTAATATGAAATAGTTCTTCCGCCCACTTACCAGCCTCACACCTTCCTACAAAATACAAAGCATTTACAAACAAGGTTTAATTTATTGTTCTTACAAGTGTTCTTATACAAGTGGAGATGTTAATAACAAATATATGGCGAGTATACAAAAGCATAATACTGTAGGGCCAGTTGAGTTGAGGTCATTTCAAAGCTGTTCTGGAAAATCTATGGTTTGTTATATTTCACTTTTTGCTTTTAAGTTAAATACATACTATTCTGATTTCATGACAACCGAAAACTCCATCTGCAATTGAAAATCATGTAACAAAATTGGACCGATTATATATCTGATAGATGAATAGACCTTGAGGTGGAATTGTGTTATTCACCAACATTGCTTTGAATGGAAAATGCCATGTAGTTTAACTTGGCCCTACTTCTGACTTTGACACGTCCTAAATTAACAGCTGCGCTATCTGTCACAGTAAGTGGAAAGCACCACAGGACAACACACAAAAAAAAAACCTTTAAGCAATGAATAGCAATTTTAAAGTGTTAAATGTCTTCAGGGTGTGGACCTCACAAAGAGCACCTTGACAAAGCGTGGGTCCAGTGATGGACTTTTTGGCTCCTGCCTGGATTGAGCACATGACCCTTTGGGTACAGGATCCTCTGTCACCACCATCCAGGAACCACATTAAAAGTGCAGCGTCCTGATAGAATCTCCCGAGACATGGAATCTCCATTAGAAAACAGCACTCAGTGTAAAGGAGGTTAAAGGATGGAGGTCATTTTAAAATAGTGATGGGGTTTATTCTTGGTAAATTGTCAGCTTTCTTACAATATAATATGCATGAGGCGTATTTAGCGACAGGGTTTCAAATCTTTCTTCTGCTTTTCCTCTATTTCCCCCCAGAGTTACAAGCAGCCGTCTGCATTCATCGTGACCCAGCACCCTTTGCCGAACACAGTGAAGGACTTCTGGAGACTGGTGCTGGATTACCACTGCACGTCCATAGTGATGCTCAACGACGTGGACCCAGCGCAGGTAAACCCGACCTGATACATGGGCATAAACACACATACAATAAATAAAACAATCCTCAAGGGATATGGCAAGAAGCGCACTGACAAACACATGAAGCAGTTCCTTTAATCACAAGACTGCATCATATAAAGTCAAAGAAAAGGACAGCGTGGGGGCTGGATTCAGAGAGATATTCCTTTTTTAGATTGTTTTCTTCCAGTATGAACCCAGGGGTTAAAAAAAACATTGCGCTGGAAAAAGATATATTTCAAATATACAGTGTCTGTTTGAAATGAGGTGGATGCCGCAAAGTGGAAGCCATGAAAGCGCAGGTAGACGGAGAGACAGGCCTGAGGAAGAGACTATCCAGATTCCTCAGCCCGAGGCTCTGTCATAACACCTGCGGATCAAAGCCTGAAGCCCGGCTCGCTCTCCCCATCCAAATCCCCTTTCCCTAGGTGACTGACTGACTGACTGGATGCATAGAGAAGGCCTTTCATTCAATATTCTCACTGTAGGCAGTCAGCCAGCCAGCCAGCCAGGGAAACAGCACAGGTGGGAAGGGGGAGATGGAGACGAGGGAGGCTTACTATCTTCTCCATCAGCATCTTTTGTTTTTGCATCTGTTGACTTTGTCAAACTCTGACAGGCTCTCAAAGGGAGCTGGAAAGTGCTGCCACACAGACTGTAAATGTGTTCCAGACACAAAGCGTATATTTGGGGGTCCATTTATGTGCGTGTGCTCAGGCCTGTTATTTGCATTCTTCTCAGGCGGTCTCTTTTCCCCCTTGTTTGTTCATGACTCTGCATGTCTGTCTGCACAATCTGTCCATCTGTGCGTGAACGCTTCCGCTGCTCAGGTTTATTGCTGCGAGGCCGATGGTTCGGCTCCGCAGGTGCTTGTTCTTAACTGGGCTTTTTCTCCTGACAAGCGGAAATGGGGGCGTTTTTTCAGCTCTTATGATGCTGTCGCAGGGGGTAATTTCTCCCGCTGCACTCTTCAAAACTGCTGCCGGAGCAGTCAATGACAATCAAGTTCTGCTTTCTACATTACTTTTTATTTTATAATACTTTCTAATAGGTAGACAACTCCAGATTATAACTTTATTCTACACTGAAAAAATACAGTTATCCAGTGTGAAGGTGACAAAATATTGTCTATTTATCGTTTAAGAAAAATAAAATGCTGTTTACATTTTCTGTTCAGAGCAGATTCTCAGATTTTCTCTCGGCTCACAAAGAAGTTTTATAAAAAAAACATCTTTTAACAAAACTTTTTTGCAGAGATGAGAACAATTAGTCAAGGTTTTTCTATATGTGTTTGCTTTCTTTAAAAAGGTTCTATTGATTGGAGAAAAAAGCTCTATAGAGCACTGAGAACACATCTGAGTTTAATGTTTGGTCCTTTAAATATATATTTCAGCTTTTGTCTGAATGTTCTCCTGTGAGGAAGCAATTCATGATATCTTTTTTTTAAGAAAGCACTTCACTTTCTCTCTCTCTCTGCCTCTTGTTCTTGTGATTCATGTCCTTAGTCTTTGTAATCTCACCTAAAGCTGTTTTATTGTACATCCACATGTAAGAAGCTGAAATCATTGTCACTGTTATGTCATTGGATTCTGAAACTAATGAATCATTTCCCGTTTTCTTTGTTGTGTGTGTGTGTGTGTGTGTGTCTATCTCTGTGTGTGTGTGTGTGTGTGTGTGTGTGTGTGTGTGTGTGTGTGTGTGTGTCTATCTCTGTGTGTGTGTGTGTGTGTGTGTGTGTGTGTGTCTATCTCTGTGTGTGTGTCTATCTCTGTGTCTGTGTCTATCTCTGTGTGTGTGTGTGTGTGTGTGTGTGTGTGTCTATCTCTATCTCTGTGTGTGTGTGTGTGTGTGTGTCTATCTCTATCTCTGTGTGTGTGTGTGTGTGTGTGTGTGTCTATCTCTATCTCTGTGTGTGTGTCTATCTCTATCTCTGTGTGTGTGTGTGTGTGTGTGTGTGTGTGTGTGTGTGTGTGTGTGTGTGTGTGTATCTCTATCTCTGTGTGTGTGTATCTCTATCTGTGTGTGTGTATCTCTATCTGTGTGTGTATCTCTATCTGTGTGTGTGTGTATCTCTATGTGTGTGTGTGTGTGTGTATCTCTATCTCTGTGTGTGTGTGTGTGTATCTCTATCTGTGTGTGTGTGTGTGTGTATCTCTATCTGTGTGTGTGTATCTCTATCTGTGTGTGTGTATCTCTCTCTGTGTGTGTGTGTGTGTATCTCTTTGTGTGTGTGTATCTCTTTGTGTGTGTGTGTGTGTATCTCTGTGTGAATGTTTGTGTGTGTGTATCTCTGTGTGAATGTTTGTGTGTGTGTATCTCTGTGTGAATGTTTGTGTGTGTGTGTACGTGCCTATTTTGTTTAGTTGTGCCCACAGTACTGGCCAGAAAACGGAGTCCATCGCCACGGACCCATCCAGGTGGAGTTCGTCTCCGCTGACTTGGAAGAGGACATCATCAGCAGAATATTTCGGATCTACAACGCAGCACGGGTACGGTGACACAGGAGGGTCAAACTTCAAATAGAGGGGAGACAGCAAACACTACATTTATGTGATCACGTTTTTTGCTTTACAGCCCATTTTTTGCAACTTTTATAACTTGTTTTTCTACTGTGGTGATAACAACAGCCAATGTATTCTCTGTCGGCACACCTCACACGTCCCACGCATTCGCCGGCCTGTCCATTCAAGCTGTGCCGAGGCCGCTGTGCTTTAACTCCGCACTGCTCTGCTGATTGGACCGAGGTGTGAGCGCTCCAGTCACACTCACATGTCTTTTAGAGGCTTTGGAAATGTTACACATAGTTAAAATGTTGAGTGTTTCGTCAATTAAACACCTCATGGCTGGACAGGGAATCTACCTGAAGGGGTCAGTCAAGCCGAATAACAGAAAAACACATTCACTTACACGTATCCAGACATGTAAATTGGTTGAGTTTTATTTGTCCAAGTTTCGAGATATTGACTCCAATTTTTTTGTTTTTGTCAAACGGCTCAACCTAAAACTTTCCCTACTAAGATTGATCATTAATAGAGTTTTTTATCTAAAATGTCACAAGAATACAACAAAATTGATGGAAAAGTCTAATAAATCTACCTATATTTCCATAAAATAAGGAAATATGTTTCTCTAAAATCCTTGTAATCATCCTGTGACTGCCACAGATGGCCCCCGGATTGGTAGACCTTGCTGTGAACAGTTTTTATTAGAAGTGCTTTCTAATGAAGTCCTTATGAATGCTGTCGACAGAGTGTCGACCATCCAGAGCAGGGGTGTCAAACTCAAGGCCCGGGGGCCAAATCCGGCCCGCGACTTCATTTTATGTGGCCCACAAGAGCTTGCAAAGAATATAATGTTTATTATACGGTTACATGCCGATTTACAGAGGCACGTTACCCATACATGGAGCACAATGCATCTCAAATTTGACTTTTTTCTCAGAATTAGATTTTTTTTCTTCAAAATATGCCTTTTTCTCAGAATTTGACTTTTTTTTTAAATGTTACTTTTTTTTCAAAATGTCACTTCTTTTTTTCAAAATGTCACTTCTTTTTTTTGATTGTGACTTTTTTTCCAGAATTTGGCTTTTCTTTTAAAATCATTTTGTGACATTCTCACTGAAGAGACTTTTCACTACGTCTGACCCTTTTAATTTTGAGCTAGCAGACATTTAGTGCACGAAAATCATCCCAGCGTCACCTGACTAAGCTCCTTACCTCCTCATATGAGTGTGTAATAACAGCGTCTGGTCGGCAGAGGCATTCATTAAGTGGAAAAGCATCTAATCACACATGATCACTGACGAGAGTTATTGATCCATATGTCCGAGTGTGATTTAGAGTGTCTGCAGCTCAGATCTTAACTCTCCGTCTCCAGCTGTGAGTGTTCCCATCTATCAGACCGTCTATCTGCTCTCACATCTCTTCATTGACTCCTCGGGCCCTTATCCATCTCCTGATGCCACCGAGGCTTAGCTTAGCTGCATCTTTACAGTCTGATTGCATCTTTGCACGCCAGCGATTAACCCCCACCACGGCCCCCGTATCCTACTTTGTGTTAACCTGGAGTAACCGGTGTGTCCTTCCTTTCAGCCTCAGGACGGATACCGGATGGTGCAGCAGTTCCAGTTCCTGGGCTGGCCCATGTACAGAGACACGCCCATGTCCAAGCGCTCCTTCCTGAAGCTCATCCGACAGGTGGACAAGTGGCAGGAGGAGTACGACGGAGGCGAGGGGCGCACTGTGGTCCACTGCCTGTAAGTTACCACCACACTCAGAGGGAAGACAGTGCTGCCATTTATTTATTCCACACATGGAAGTTATTTTAAAACAAAACATGTACACTTTTTTTATACCACATGGTGGAAAGGAGCAGGGAGAATAAAATCTTATTTTACCTGCCCCTTCTTAAAAAAATAAATGAAAATAACCATAAAAAAGTCAAATAAAAGCAATATTCTTTCAGTCACAGTTGCTTACAAATACTGAAACATAAAACCAGAACACAATCAAAAGTCAACTTCATACTGTCTAATTACGCTTTCTTTATACATGTAAAATGTTCTTACAGCCCTTTCAATCATTTGGCAAAGAATTCCACTTCTTTACGTCATTAAAAATGAAACATCTCCACCTACTGACTGAAGAGCTCCACTGCATCAGAAGCTCTTCCTCACCCCTCTCAGCTTTAACTTGTCTGTATTGAAGTTAAATAAAAAGTGGTTTTCTAATGCTTGGTTCCTTTTTGACAACTTTAGGAACGGAGGCGGTCGAAGTGGGACTTTCTGTGCCATCAGCATTGTGTGTGAGATGCTCCAGCACCAGCGCTCTGTGGATGTTTTCCACGCTGTCAAAACACTGAGGAACAACAAACCCAACATGGTGGACCTGCTGGTGAGGAGCAATGCAACAACGCTTCTGTCTGACCTATAAAGAGTGTATTTCAAGAGGGTATTCAAAGAGGGTATTCCAGCGATTGTATGTACTCACAAAATACATATTATATATTACATATTTAGTCCTTGTTATGGGTGAAGATCCATACATGCTTATATCCAACATGTCCACAATACAACTTAAAGCATCTGTTCATCATTGTCATACTCACCTGCAATGATTGTATTTACCGTCATATGAGACATTGGTGGAATGCCCCTTTAAGTTCCCTAAATTGTACTTTATTGGTGTCAACAAGTGCGTCGACTTTACATGTTCCTGTATTAAGATATTATGCATCTCAACAATTTGGGGATCACAGCAGGTGAATTCTTTCATAGAAATATTAACATATAATATTTGGCAGGTTTTTTTAATGATATTTTATATTGTAGATTTGTGTGTCTTTAATTCCCTTCATAATATTTAATTGATTGACCAAAAATTGCAGGGAAAATGTCAAAAGCCTAGTGTTTAGTGAGAGTCATTTTGGTAGTTTCTTCTGTTGTTTTTTTTGGTCCCTTTTCATTTTTGTATTGGTTTGTACATCTCAATGTATGGATACTTAAACAGGCAACTGACCTATTTTGGAAACCCCCACTACTCATAGTATCAGCATTAGCACTAGTCCCAAATTTGATCACTTTGGTAATGTATGAATATTTTAAAACAACTTTATTGAGATCAATATCTGCTAAGATGAAAAAGACCCTGCTCTGATACCTAATTACGGGCCTTAAATCTCCAGTATAACTGTACAGCATAGATTGTACATAAGGGGGAGGAAGGGGAGGATAATATTGCTAGTGTGCTCCATCAGAGCATCATGTAGCTTGGGACCCTTATAGGGCCCCAGATGCCCTTTTTTGTTTGTCCCACTATACACATCTGTAACATGTTGGTGTGTTTCCTCTTTTCTCTTAGGACCAGTACAAGTTTTGCTATGAAGTGGCGCTGGAGTACTTGAACTCTGGGTAACTCGGAGCTGCTGAACCCACCAGAGACTTTAAAATTGGGACATTACAGCAGACTGCAGCTCACATGTGTGCATTGTGCTAAGTGTGTGTGTGTGTGTGTTGCTAACTGGACAGGAGCGAGGTCCACACACAACCATACATGCAGCTCCTTTGACCAGCTCCCCCTTTTCCTTCTTGTCAGTGTAAATGGGGAAGGTAACAGAGTTGTACAGTGTTAAATATCGCAGCCTGTTTCTGTCAGTATCGGCTGAGGAAGCCAGCAGGAGCACAATGAAGTTGTTTTGTTCTGCTCTGCAGTGAGCCGCCTCTCTCTGGATCCTTCTTTCTCTCTGCATCGCTCTCTCTCAGCCGCCTGTAGTCCCGTGGTTGTTGCCTTGATCCTCATTGGACGATAAGCGTTAAATACTCTGTGGAATGCGATACACTGTACATAATGTGTTGATTTTATTCTCTATTTTTTTTTTTACTTTTAAAAGTCTTTTAATGCAGGAGCTCAAAGCCTAAATGTTACTAAATGTCCTGTAAATCGATGATTATTGCTTCATACTGTGTGTTGGGGACAGCTGGCTCAGTCTACATCTGCTTTCCTTATTTCCTGTACAGGGATCCAAAGCTTTATTTGCACTCCCATTTGAATTCTCGTTGTGCATATTGTACATATTTCTGTAGATTATTTATTCACAGTATGTACTTTTTTTGTGACTCGCAGTAAGTGACAATCATATGTTCTATAGGTTTGGGTTATTGACTGTAACGTGTGCTCTCTTTTTTTTTTTTTTTTTGTCATCTTGTGTGACAGATCGATTCCATTGTAAAGAAAAAAGATATTCTATAAATGTATCTACAATATGAACATTGGATTATGTGTTGATTCCTCTTGTCTGAGTGAAGTTGGAATAGATGACATTAGGGCGACATCTGTTGGAGAGATGAGGAATAACACACAGCTCCAGGTTTACACTTTTTACAGGCGCCTCAGTATTAAACAGTTTTCATGATTTATCTCTTCAATCAAGCTGTTGTACTATTATACGAATGATGGCTTGCATACACTTTGTAATTGGATATAGTTGGTATGAAGCTATATTTGTTCAATGATTTTAAAATATAAGTTTTCACAGGCTGAACAGTGACAACATGGACCCTGATTGGACAGCAACGTTAAAACAGGTAAAATATCGTAAGTCATGTCAATTGTCTTCTAATACACAGATTTAAGAAGAGATTTAGAGATAGCAACTTATTATGATTTTGAACAGTTGGACTCAAAATATGCTTTTTGTAATTTAAAAACACAAAAACGATTCTAACATTTTTAAGCTAATAACTATGGTTCTAATATAGGAATATAACACTTTACTGTTAAATGTAGAGGATGGTTGACTGTCTGGTTTGAATTGGATTGGATACATTTGATTTATAGAACTAAATATTTTGTCAGTGACATCTTGTAGCGTGACTGAATATTGTAATGAGTTTCACACCATAAAAAATGACAACGTATATCCATATATATTTTACGTACCACATCTATTTGGTTTTTAATTGTGCTTTTGATAAACGCCGTTCTCATTTTGTCAATGAAAAGTATGTGGTACATTTGTATACAGGAGGAACACCTCAGGAAACAAGAGTGAGAGTCCATTACTACAAGTCTTACATTATTTTCTGGAAAAGATGTTACATGAAGTACATCCAAGTTGTGTTTACCAAGTCTAAAAATAGTGGAGAACACATTATGTATAAATATTTTGTTCATTCAAATGAAAAGTATTTGCAAAAAAGTAAATCCGTTGAATCTCAATTGTAGATCCATTTGGCAGATCTGTGCCCTCTGATTTATGGGGGTGTGTTTCCCCCTGGTGGAGTAACCTGTTCCTACACCAACTCATGCTCAGCTATACACAGAAGCGAATGACTCATTAAATGTAACATTATTCATTCAGTTGCACTCATGAGACTGTGTTCAAAACATTGTAATGTTACTGTTAACCAATTTTAGGTCTCCATACATGAGGTGCTCGTAATATATTTTAATAGTAGATGTCTCTGGGAAGTCAAGATCAAGCTTAATTTTAATGGGAATCTATAGGTGCAGAGATATAATTATTGACTACTGGCCCACAAATATAACTACAAGTTCCAGTATTTGCTGAGATGCAAATACTAACTTCATATTACTTTTTTTTTTAGCAATGAGTCAGCAAATTAGCTCTCACCACTTTTGTGTAAAGTCTTACCTCCCTGTGGGCAGTGTTGGAACTGCACACAGTATCTTCAATAAGTAGTTTAAAGTGGACCTATCATGCTATATTTGAATAATGTAGTGTAGGACCATACCTATATAAGGCATATTTATACTTTTTTTTTCTCCAAAATACCAAACAGATCATGCATTTTAGCCATGCCTCATTTTGCTCAATTTGACCATTTCTAGCTCTGTTTTTGCAAGGGCTGATTCAGTGAGAACAGCACCACCTACAGGCCTGGCATATGTACTACAGCGTCTCCAGCGCTTTCGAACGGCAATGGCCGTGGCTGTCTCCTGATTGGTGGAGTTGGCCCAATAGCCGTAGCGCCACTGTCTTGACGTCAGGACAGTGTTCAAATCTGGATCAGTTTTGATCAGATTTGTTGCAGCCCCTTTTTTAGAGATTTGGGTATGGAGGAAAATAGAGAGGGTTGTGTTTTCTGACACTTGGTGAGTTCCCTGGAACACCGGGGACACATATTCATTTATAAAAGACGTACAAAAGTGCATTTTGCATGATAGGTCCCCTTTAATGGACAACTTCTGTTCTTCTACTGTAGCTGTTAATAAAGGAATACTTTGCCCACAAAGTGATCATTTGTATATAATTTACTCACTCTTATTTACCTGAATTATTGAGAAAAAACTAAATAAAAAGTGATGAATTGAGGCCGCAAAACATCTGTTTACAAACTCTCATACAACCTAGCTCACTACTTCCCAAAGATGCATTTTCTTTGTCAAGACCAAGCTGAGTTACATACCTGTTAAAATATGGGACTATGTGAGCATTTTTGCTTAAATCTTTCTACTTAAAACACCTTTACGTAAACAGTGTCAAGATTGCAGAGGCATACTCTTCACCTGTGTTCATTTTTCCCAAAAATTAAAGATAACACTGGAGTAATTGATATACACGTTATCATTTTGGGGGTACTGTATTCCTTTTATCAATACATTTCTAGGGTTTATAAATCTGGAGGAATATGCAATAATTAAAAGTGAGTACAGCAGTGGGATCTAATTTGATTCTGCTTTGAAACAATGTAAAGAAAGACAAAGTGTGGCTACAGCTGCAGCACACTTGAAGCTTTTGACCACAAGAGGTCAGTGTAAAAAAGCTTTTCCATTGGTATTATGCTGAGAAATAATGAAATAAAGGTGTTTTAATTGGGCATACATTATGCATGCACTGTGCATATTTTTTTGCAATTCAACAGTTAATAGTCCCAGATATAAACCCTCGGACTTGGCAACTTATTAACAACTCACTATGTGCACCATTTCCATCTTTGCCTGCATTGCATATTAAAACATCCAAGACGGACTGAGCTCTTGGCATCCTAATTCTTAAAAAATGTAATTGTAGGCTTATGTTGGCCCTTATTGCACCAGTTTGTCTCTACAGGCTGCAGCAGGGCCTTGAAGACTCTCTCTTGGACAGAGGAAGGAATCTCTGGCACATCTTCATGAAGCTGAGGCCTCATCTTTTCCCCTCACACAGTGTTCCAGTCGGTCAGAGCTGCAGGCGCTGTGGCACCAGGGAAGGTTTCATATTTCATTGCAGGACTGAATTATTTCTCTGTTCACACAAGGACACCGGGGGAGTGGAGGAGTTGGAGTGAGGGAGATGGAGGAGACTGGGAGTCGCTCTGCTGCTGCTGGGTGAGTCCACTCCAGATGTTCCCTGAGACAAAGTTCAGAAGCACAGGGACAACATCTGGACTCACAAACACACTGGCAGAGCTGCAGAGCAATGTGTGCCTAATGCAATCCTTAACTGAGATTTGTACCGCTTGTATGCAAAAAATAATAATCAAAAGCCAAGAAAGTTCATTAGTTTATTTCTGAGTCCTCTTCTTATTCAGCTGGGCTTCACAGATAATGTACATTTGTTTTCCTAATGATGTTTAGAAAACCATGTAAATAAATGATTTGCTGTATGCATGGATGGATTACTGAACAAAGCAAAGGCCCAGCGGGACCTGGTGGGCATATTTTGTTCAATGTGATGTATGTAATATAATATCTGTGCAGAGCAGTGTCGGCAAAAACACATGAATATCAAAAAGAAACTCAAAACATCTGCCAAACGATGCAGAACAACCACAATGAAACTTAAAATGACCAAAAAGAGATACAAAACAACCTGAAAAAGACTCATGATGAATACAAAATAATGAAAACAACTAGAAATAAAAATTAGACAAAACATCCTCAAGATGCAAACCAACATCTTAGAGACACAGAAAGACCACAAAGAGACACTAAAAGACCACATTCAAAATGTTATAATACTCAAAACAATCTCAAGAAGAAGGAAAAACATAATCAAAGATGCTCAAAAGGAACAAAGACCCTCAGAACAACCCTAACTAAACACACATATATTCAAAAATATAAATGCAAAAAACAAACTAATTCTCATAGCTTTATTCCATAACCTCTTAATGTAATTTGACAGTGGGTTCGATCATTTTGCAAGAATCAAGTTTCACATTTTCCAAAATGGTAGGTATTACATCGGGGCATACATTTTTTATGAGATGCAATAGAGCAGAGCAAGGTTACTGCTGCAGATGCATCAATTCTGTTTGTGTAGCATCCCATGTCCAGGAGATGGCAGCGCAGAGCAGCAGCTTACACACACGCGCACACGCACACGCACGATGTCAGCTAAAGGCAACAGCAGCTAGTAGAGAACCCTCTTCACTCTGTTATACTCCCAATTTGCCCTAAATCTCCACTGGCACGCTCATATTCAAATGAAGTAATTAACATGTTATTCCCCAAAGATAATATTTCATTAAACCGGGAAATACATTTGAGTTCTGAAATTAGTTAAATGATCGGATAATGAAGGTGATGAGTATAAAAGCAGATATTTCATACAATTTAAAGTATGTTTTCTAATGCTAATAATCACACACTTCTAAATGTGTATCTCAGAAAGATGTATGTTAGCCTTTTAATTTGTCTCTATCTTGAATATGCATGTTTAATTGATGAGCATCATATTTTCTCACACTCAGTCTCCTCTGTGCTGATGTAACAATGCAATGAAATAGTCAATGAATTATTAATGACTCCGCGATTGCCGATGAAACATTAAGCGGTGTACTTTCTCATAATCAAGGTGCTCGCTGAAATTGCAGCCTCCAGCCTCCTCTAAAAGAACCCTCCAGCACTCTCACATACACCACTGCGGATTCTCACACATGCACACACACACAAATATGCAACACAAGACAACTGCGGATCCACACACAGGTCAAAGGGTAACTGAAGCAACTGGAGCACAACAGCCTGTCCATCTCCAGGGACCGGATTATCTTTTTTCCCTCTATCTCTCTTTCCCTCTGCCTGCCTTCATCTATTTACCAACCCTCACTCCCTGAAACAATTGAACAGAATGAACTGTGAATCTGTGACAGCACAAGTAGACATCTTGTTCACTTGCCCTCATGTGGCTTTCCATTCTGTGTATTTTAATATTCAACAGAGTGGAATTCGTGTGATTAGATTCATCATCTTTACACGATCTGAATTTGTTTAAATATCTGTAGTTTTGATAGGGATTTTATATAGTTTATACTTCTGTA